TTACTGTAAAGTCATAGCAGTTAAATTAAGTATAAGTGTCAGTTTCTGATTGCATATTTACACCTTATCACTGACAGAAAACGGTATTTTACAGCCACATTTTCAATAGTAGAGTACAAATAAGGAAGGAAGATGCACAATTGGTTCTTTTGGCGATTTGCCGAGATCAATAGTGAATTTGTTGGGAAAGGTCTTATGGAACGCGCTTGATACGAGCTGTGATCCAGACAGTTATGTACCTAGGGTGCATGTTCCCTAGAGTCGCCAGGGATTTCCCACCATGAATGGGGTTCTGAAAAGTAGAAGAGAGAGAGAAAAAGGCAGCAGTGTGGCAAGTGTATATATATAACCAAAGCACTACTTAACCTGTCATGTTGAAGTAGTCAATACAGTAGTAAGTCAAGATTAAATTCATACTGACCACTTAAATTAAATTAAATTATGGGAATATTAGAATATAAGACAGATAAAGGAGTACAGCAAAAAGAAGGAAGAGTTGTGCAGTGTCAGGTGGACAGAAGAGGAGTCGAAGTAAGAAGCTGGATTTATGTACGTTGAAATAGAAAGAGTAAAGTTTGTAAAAAGAAAACTTTGATGAATAAAATCTCGCACTGTCTAACTGTTTTTTTAATTTTATTATTATTGAATGCCAACCTCTAAGTCATACTGTAAGCGCCTGAGTAACTATTTATGACCCATTCAACTGAAGGGATCAAACACAATACTTTTCTATTCCCTACTCGAATTCTACATACCAGGACTACAATGTCGTATAGTTCTATATATATATATATATATATATATATATATATATATATATATATATACTTCTCTATATCATGCAAATTGGGGAAGTTCCACGCTAATTGGGCGTTGATAGGAACGCTAGAGAGGTTTCCGAATTTATTTCTACGACGCAACATAAGGATCGATATAGGCCGAAAACGATATCTCTAAATCTCTCCAACTTATTAACCAGTGTATTGGGAATAGGACGGATATTTAGGGTTGGGCAACGCTTCTGTCCGTAATACCGTACAGGATACATAAAGACACATCAAACCAGAAGTTTGTAATGAAGAGGATAAAAAGTATAATTAAATGATGGTTCGGATGTTAAGAAGTATATGGACTTAGATTTCTGGTTGATGAGAGGTGCTTTGTTGCACGGCGAACCGCATGACGATTATAATCCCATTCGGCTAGGATGCGTCCCTTGAAGCCTGTGAAGTCAGGATCAATTCTGAAGACTTATGAATCTATTTCTTTTGGGCATTCATTTGCTACACCATCCCTAGAAAACTAACTCACTAAGAAATGCTCAACAAAACCAATAATCCAAACCATTTAAAATCTGTCCTGGCAGTTTTAAAGTTTTCATTCGCAAGAGTTATCACGTCTCGTGATGAAAGCCGAGTTTCTTCCTATATCCCTTCTGACAATCAAAGCAACCATTAATGTGTGTATACAGAATGTTCGCACAATGCAATAGATCGGAAAAGCGATTTAATTTGTTGTGGAAATGAAACAATACAACAGTTTGTTACTGAAAGTAAGCAAAACAATGGAAGCATACAGGATAGAAAAGACTAGCTTCAGGAAAGATGCAGTTGTATTCCGAAGGCCAATAAAAATTTGCCTTACACACAAAAAGTTGAACTGATGGTATCAAAAAACAGCACATTAGCACTTATAGAATGGGAATCTCAAAGAACATGAATCAAAAAGGCCTCTTAAAAACATAGATAGTCAATAAGATCCAGTGCTATATGTCTATCATGATCAATAATAAAATCAGTTTCGCGACATAATGCAGTTAGTCATCAAAAAATGCACAGCAAAGTATGTGGTCGTTTCAGTGGAGGATCAGAACTTTAAGTTTTCGGTAAACAACACATGACATGAAAACGAAGCCGAAGAATAGGACTGATACTAGAGGCTCCATGTCTTGATTTTTAATTATATTATTCAGATATTCTAGCAGGTACGCATTACATGACCAGGGCTTTATAAACCCCCGCTGGGTTGTCAAGATGAGGTTGCCACTAAGTAGATGTTGTAGTATCTCCGCTTTTAGTGCTTGCTCCATCACCGTGGACACTGCTATTTAGTTTTGGGAATGATATTTGTAGTATTCCAGGTATTGGGATAACACGCTGTACAGAGTGATATAGCAAATAGTTTATGAAGTACTACAAAAAGATCGTTACTTCCATTTATCAGCATGCTTTCACGGATATCATCTGATCCGTCATTATAAGGGTGTTTCAGTGTGCGAATCGCCATACAAATGTCCTGCACATTAGTCTAGACTGGTTATTTCACAGAAAATTATTGGTTTATTTAGCAGGTTTTTATTAGTAAATGGAGCTCGTATGTGTTCACTGAATAGCTTTGTGATACATTCAGTGTCTTGGCACACTGTGTTGACCTTAATACTCACACCTCCTCCTCACATTTTAGAGCATTGAACTTCACTTCAAAGGATGCTGACCAATGCAGAAGAGTCATTATTTAGTTCGACAGAACATTAATACTATGTGATTGCTTTTTTTGCACGTCTTAACCCCACCACAAGAAATATTTCTGTTAATGTAACTAACGAGGCGAAGACATCAAGATTACAGAATCCGGGCGTCTATCCTTGAAGACGTTTTCGTACTTAATCTGTCATATACCAATCCTTAGAAATCCAGATTCTTCAGTGTACTTGAGGTGCGAATTATTCGGGGATATTACTGATGTTGTGAAAAAACGTATTCCTTCATTTGCTGGAATCCTTTTACATTTGAGGAAGTAGCCAATTCAATGATTCTAGGATTATATGAGAAGTCTATTCAAGCAATCTGTAGTCTGTACGGCATGTGGTCGCTTTATATTTTGTGGTTGTGGTTTGAATATCGAGACTGCATATGATCTTATGGTTTCTACCTGGTAACGTTTTTCCAGTATGTACGATACTGAAGATGAGATTAGTAGTGAAAACTGAGTCCAAAATACTGTGACGCCTGGTGGGGCTGTTAACATATTTAATCCAATTTCAAAGGTCAACCCATCAATCAAAGACTCGAAACGTTTTGGTGATTTGATTGAGAAACAAGAGATTTCAGGCATGTTGAATAGCCTTTTCTGTGAACGGTAAAGATGAGGCGACCGTGAATAATTCTGACCATATCACTAGATCCCTTGTTGGTGCGTTAGGCTGATGGTTAACACAGCCGAACGAGGAAACTGAATTTAATAATTTCAGAACGATCCGCAGAATATCTTGTGGTTTGACTAGCTCCAGCATATCAAGTGGGTGAAGTTAGGCTAGACTGAGCATGCATGAAACATACTTCAAATCGTCCTTGTGACCTATCACTTCATAGCAGGTCATTGTTTCTTGTGAACAAACTCCAATAAGAAATATTACTGGTGGTACCTGTTTCAGAAATTATTATAGGTAGTTGTGAACATAATAATAAAGCCTAGAGATCTAATGATTTGGTGATATTATATTTATCCTTTTTCTTTTTAACGCTTTAACTCAAGAAGTCACGAGTGAGACCTCTTGCACCATAATTTTCTAGATCTGCATGTAATAGGACTTCTTAGTAGGAAGTGAAACCAGTTCAAAATTACGAACATCAGTCATAGACGTAGTTAAAAAGGGAAAAGTACCATCAGTATCATTGGTTAGTTACATCCTGCTATATCGTAAGGAGTCGTCAGAAAAAAATGTTCTGCACCACAGACATAGGTAGATTGAGGTTGTTGCCTACCGTCATGAATGCTGTTCAGATACATCACCCTCTTCATCGGAGTAAAAAAGACTAAAGTGAGAGAGCGGTTGTTCAACTGCTTAATTTGTTGATAATAGGAGTCTACGCGGGGATATATTACGTCAGCCGGTAAAGTTATTTGGGAAGCAAATAGCTCGGAGAGGAGGGTGAGAATATCGCCTATTATGTGGGAGGAATGAGACTACATATTGCATATGGTTTAAAATGACTCCAGCTATGTACCCCACGAGAGGTGTCACAAGGGGAGTTACTTCAAAAGCAATAAAGGGCAATAAATGGCACTTAGATATAAACAAATTTACATACAAACAATAAATTCAGACGTTACTTATATGGTGTGCAGGATGCGTGTTCGAGATAATTCGGTGTAACTATAATCATAAAAAATAACTAATACTGAAAAAATATGGTATACGTTTATATAATCCAGACGATGTATGCCGAGGACAATAGATCGATGAAAAGACCACTATGATCTGTGAGCGTGGGCAACAGTTTTACTAGAGATCTGTTCTCTGGACATCTGATCAGTCGAAAACGAGAAGTGTTCGAGAGGTAGTGTATTTGACAACTGTAATTGATATAACTCACAAGTTGAGGACGAAACAGTGACTAAAGATCAAGGTTAAATTTAATGACTGTTTTAGAGTCAGTAAAAGTGTTTGTACAAATGAGAGGAACTACGAAAAATGCGAAAAATCGCACAAGTTGATTACAAAATACGTATATGATAAACATTTCCATGGTTGCTGTTTCTATTATCCTCCCTGCCTTTGGACAAACACATACATTTACATCTTAAAGAAATGCTGCTCAACACTTGCAACTTTACCTAACATCTAAGAAGTACGGGCTATTAAATCAGCTGGTTTAAAATATCTTTTCCAAGACGTATTGTATTTTGATACAAAGGTGAATAAAAGTATCTTCCAGATAAGTGAGAACTTCAAAAAATGAAACGAAATAGCCCACATATTTACTCAAGGTATCGCAATTTTTCTCGTTCTATGTGTAACGAGAAAGCTGTTTGTTTTTCGGTACCGAATTTAAGGTTGAACTTGGTTTCAGTTTGTTGTTGTTACAGCGCAATATACAGAATGAGTACACCAGACAATTATGAAAATGTTCGACATGTGTACAAACTACTGAGGGAAAGAGGAGATATAAATAAAATAAAGGTAAACAATTTTTATTGATGCCAGAAAAAATTAAAACAGTCTCAAATTAGAACGAAGTTAATACTGGGGTTCGCATATTTGGATAATTCGGTAACAATGTTCGATGGTGATACCAATGATCAAAATATAAGGATGGCGAATCGCCTAGTTGCAAATCATATGAAAACTCATGGATATGATTACTCTTTAAGTGTTTTTGTTCCGGAAACTGGGCTGACTAGTTTTGAGGTATATTTTGATAAAAAGCTAGATTTATTTTCCATTTCAGTTGGAAGAATTCACAAAAGATACTTCCTCCTTCATGCCTTGTGTTCTTTCGAGTGATTCTGGAAAACAAGTATTGAGGAGTTTAAACCACGTCACTTGTTCTATTTTAGACGAGTTTTCACAAAGAGTACTATTCATTATTGGTGTTGATTTTGAAAGCCTATCGAGAAATGTCGAGTATCCCGAAAGAAAATAAAGCTGTTCAGGTGGTTGAAACAAACGACCCTAACTTAGGTAATTCTACAGATGATATTTAATACTCACTGCTCCTCCGAATATTCAGCCTTATAATTTCTTTATTGTTGTCTGGTTAAAAACTCTAAAGTTTAACCTCATTCAAAAAATAGAATGAGTAGTGAAGTTGTTAACCAATTGTCATCCTCAGATCTAGAGGTCATCATAAGTCCTGAGCAACTGTTCGATCGGGGATGCTAAATTAATCGTCACTGTACTATGTTGAAGTTGAGCTTTCCAGCAATTTTTTGTTCGATCCTGCAAACAAAGCTCCTGAAGTACATTTTTAGATTTTTGAACTTCCAGAAATCACTCTCTGTGAGGGTTAGTACCAGGCAGGATGGGAAGGTAAAACATATTAATACCAAGAGCATCTTTTATTATGCTGTAAGTCTGTATTATATCACCAAGTAATGTCCCGACCGTAGCTGCTACCTTGACGTGGTGGTCGGACTTGCCTATCGTGATGACCCAACCGAGCTATATTGGCTGGAACATATGTTCCTGCAAGTCCTACCATGCCAGACTGGTCGATTGGAGAACGATGAGACTAAAAGCAGCTACCTAAGGTCTGAGGGCGAAGTCGTACTGCTGACTGCTGAGGGGTGTGACAGCAGTAAGGTGTTACCCTCGGACAACCAGCATCTGCAGCGATGCTGCCTCCTCACAAGGAAGGAAGGGTTAGAAAAGGTCAACTCTAAAAATGTCACACCTCCCCTACCTCACGGATTTCCGTCTCCTTGGGTAAGGGTGCCCACTAAGGGCCTTTAAGAACGGAGCCGTGTGTGACCGGCCTCAAACAGTTGTCCCTTTGTTTGAAGCTTACTGGACGTAGGAAAGACACCGTAAGAAGGCCTCTTAGGGTTTTACTTAATGATAACAAGGCGAAAAATATATTTCAGGAACAACTAGAAAGACAGTTAGGCGACCATTTAAGCGATCCCCATCCAGAGGCAGGTTGGAATGATATCAAAAAGGCTGTGGAAACAGCAGTGATATCTGCTAGTAAGGTTGACCATAAGGCTAGAATAAAGCCGTGGATCTCAGTAGCATCCACCGATCTGATGGATGCCCGAAAACTCATCCCACCTGGCTCTGAACATGATGAAGAACGAAGTCAGCTTCAGCGTAGGCTGATAAAAAGCCTACGCAATGACCGCTAACAGTGGTGGGTGACGAAAGCGAGAGAAATGGAAAAGGCAATACCAGACAACTTTTCCGACTTATCAAGGAAACTGGTATTAGGAATCCTTGTATAAGTGAGACTATCTCGGAAAATGATGGGACTATTATCCATTTTCAATCCAGGAGACTGGATCGATGGGCAGAACACTTTAGAGATCAGTTCAACTGGCCTCGAGCCAATCTTCGGTTACTCACGATCTCCAGTCATCCTGAATGGAAAATCGACGTAAGTCCTCCTACTCTTAATGAAGTTGAAAAAGCGTTAGGAAATCTGAAGCGAGGGCGAGCTGCGGGTCCTAATAGACTGACCCCTGAGGTATTTAAGGATGGTGATCCAGTTTTAGCAGCTAGGTTGACGGAGATCTTAGGTAGAATCTGGGAATTGGACGTAATCCCATCCGACTGGTCTCAATCACTGATTGTCCCAATCTATAAGAAAGGACAGAAGTCTTCTTGTGACAATCACAGGGGAATAAGTCTAACTAATATAGTATCTAAAATATTAGTCTCAATAATACTTCGGCGCTTAACGAAAGCTCGTGAAGAGCAAACTCGAGAAAACCAGTCTGGTTTTCGACCTGGACGTGGTTGTATAGACCACATTTTCACACTACGACAGGTCCTGGAACACGGACACACATCTAGGCGTCCTACAGTAGTTGTTTTCCTAGACCTAAAAGCGGCATTTGACTCAGTGGATCGTGAGGTTCTGTGGCAGTGTCTGTCTGACTACCCTGAGCAACAATGCAAGCAAGTTCGAGATGTGGTTTTCCCTCTCGAAAAGCAAAATGTTGCTTCAAGATTGGGTTGCATCGGTACCTGAACTAGTGATAGGGAGTGAAGTAGTTAAGCGTATTCGTTGCTTTACTTACCTCGGGAGTCTCATCAGTGCCGATGGTCTGGTGACTGACGAAATCTCAGCACGGATACAGAAGGCTCAATTGGCTTTTGCCAACCTGCGTCACTTATGGCGAAGGCGAGATATCCATTTACTGACTAAAGGACGAGTGTACTGTGCAGTAGTTCGCTCCGTCTTACTTTTTGGCTGTGAAACATGGCCAGTGAGAGTAGAAGATATTCGTAGGTTACTGGTTTTCGATCATAGGTGTCTTCGAAACATTGCTCGTATATCGTGGGACACCCGAATGAGCAATGCTGTTATTAGGAATCGGGTGCTAGGCATGAATGGCAGATCAATAGATGAAGTGGTGAAACTTCATCAGTTGAGGTGGTTGGGACATGTGTTGCGTATGCCCAACCACCGACTGCCTCGTCGAGCTTTGTTTTGTAGTGTAGGAATAGGTTGGAAGAAAGTTAGGGGTGGCCAAACCAAAACATGTCAGAAATCCATGAAGTCATGGACGAGTGGACTTAGCCATGTCGGTAATTGTCGACTACTTGGTTGGGGTCCGCGAGATGATAATAATCGATGGTTAGATACCCTGAATGACATGGCTCAAAATCGTTCGCAATGGCACCGGTGCATTTATTCTTTGTGTTCTCTCAAATCCTTATCTTCTGGGCTATGAGCACAGATATCACCGTGTAAAGGTGTTTCTTGAGGAACCTGACAAGAATCTTTGATTAGTGCTGCTCTTAGAAAACTGAGAGCGTAAACGCAGAACCGAAGGGACTACTGCCTTAGGTCGGTCACGCCTGGCCTTTTATGGGATGCTTTGAAAGTGTTAGCTCCGCTCTTGTTTAAAAGGCCTTATCGCCGTAGACGGAAATTCATGAGGTAAGGTGAGGTGTGATGTATTCAGGGTCGACCTTTTCTAACCCCTTCTTTCCTTGTGAGAGGGAAACATCGGTATAGATGTTGGTTGTTTGAGGGAAACACCTTACTTCTGTCCCACCCCTCCACAGTCAGCAGTACGACTTCATCGTCAGACCTTGAGTTACAGCTTTTAGTTTCAGTGCTCTCCGATCGACCTGCCTGGCACGGTAGAACCTACAGGAACATACGTTCCAGCCAATATAGCACGGTTGGGACATCACGATATGCAAGTTCGACCACCACGTCAAGGTATCAGCTGAGGTCTATCGAGATAGTCAGTGGATGGGCATGCTTAATACATGTCCTTATAATCTTAGTCGATGAAAATTCACTACTATATCAATTGTTTGCCTATAATAGGAAGATTCTGAAACTCTGGTTTCTGAGGCACTGGTTTGCTTCTTCGGACTTTAAGTTTAGTGGTTTTCAATAAATAAGTAAGAAACAGAGATCTTGATTCTTAATGTGTGGTTAATTTGATGGTTCTGTGTTTAAAAATTAGGCCTAAAAGTACTTCAAAGTTTTTATGTGCAAAAAATATTGTTATATAAAATAAGAATTATGCTAAACTCCGTAATAATTGTTGTTGGTCAATAATATAACTGCTTCTTATTAGGATTGCTATTTACGAAGAAATTGAAAGTTTTTAAAATTTAGTTCACTCAAAAAGAAACAGTGATATCTCAAGATGAAGGAATAGTGCTGAACTATATATTCTTCTAAGAACTCACTTATATAATGCAGTACAGCGTAAGAAACTGAGTGGATAGGATTCGGAAATTCTAGTCACGAAATAACTAATTGAATAATAAATTTAAAAAACTGAATGGGGTTTACATCAACAAATATAAATGAGTAGATATATTTTCTCATCACATCATCTTGGAAAAACTATGGTTGCATGTTAGAGTAACATGTGCAAAAATAAAGAAGCAGCATCAAAATCCACATGGGTGGACAGTTAGAGTATTTAGTCTTTAGCTGTCTAGTATCTTAAGTACTTGTTTGATAGATAACACAAAGCGAGCTTCTCAGTTGCTAATAGTAGCGAAGTCTCAGCTGACTGAGTTTGATGCATTCATACTTATCGTAGTTTTATCACTTTACAGAAGAAGGTAGGTCAGTTTTCATGTCTTGCGATTTTCATATTCTCCCTTTTTAACTAACATGACTTTTCCATAAACAGAGTCGACTTTTGGTTGCTGAAAAAAATTATACCACATAGTTATGATATCAAGTAATAACATTTGCAAGGAACTACTTGATTTATTGATCGAAAAAGTAGATCAGATATCTACAGTATTGTAACTTTTGATTTCACAATCAACGGATGATTACAATCGTTATGCACTTTAATGATGATAATTTGAAGTACTGTACAACCGTTTCATTCTAAGGTAGTTAAAACGATCGTTAATTACCCGTTACCTGACATGTTGGCTGATACGAATTTCTACGTTGTACCTAACTGACTGACTCTTTAAATTCCGCGTTCTAGACGTGGCCTAAAACATTGGGCATAATACTCTGAGTCGTTTTGTTATAGTAAAAAAATGACTTGCTAATAGCCCATAAATCCCGGAAGCTTTTGGTAGCAGTCGCTAGACAGTTACATAACTTGTCAGGTCATCACTAGTTATAACTCTCATTCTTATTATCGACAACTTTGAGCAATAATATCCCATTTTGTGCAGTTATGTTAATTGTTGCAGTGGATGATTTGCACCACCTACACTCTTTCTAAAATATGTTTCTAATGATCACCAATTCTTTAACTTGTGCATTCAAGTCTTTCTGTAATCCCTATGAAACATACTTCACTTTGGTTTTCATTTTTTATTGTCATCAGGAGGTCGTAGGACAGATGACTTTTCAACACTCAGTAGATTGTTTACGTCATTCACGAAAGAACAGTGTGTAGGATCATCGGTGTAGTAACTTTATTTTTCATAACTTGCTGTTAATTATGACTAAATTCTCTGAGTTTATTTATGTAGGTAAATAACCTTTTGGAAGTATTCTAAGAATCCAGGGTTAGTGGTTTCTTATAGAATAAATTCGCTTTATATATCAACAATTAAACGAGTTCGCAATCCTTCGCTGAACAGACCTGAAATTTCAAAAGTCTGAAAAAATGAGCATATCCCAATTTCTCCTCCCGTATCTAAAGCGTTACTGGATACTTTTTGTTGCACATAGGGAAGAGTTATTAGGTCACTTTAGTTGTACGCATGATATAAATGGAAATGTAACTAGGCTGAGTATTCCATCAAATTTAAACCACGTGTCCTTAACTAACACGCAAGAGTTAACCGTGCATTTTGTTTAGATCGAGTTTTGAGCTTGGAGGGTAGGAGAACGTCTATACTGATAAAAGATTCAGTTTCATCAGTGGCTTCTGAATACAACAAGGATGATCCTTAATTTGAACCAGAACATTTCTTCTTGGGTATCTTCTGTACTAAAGCAAGGTCTATTAATGTCATAAGGATTTTACTACAAAATACAATATCGAATCCGATGGCAGATAAAACTTTCCAGTCTATATCGAATAGATGAAAATCTCCTAGTACGATACTATTTTTACCTCTGAGTGTTATGTGTTTTTAAATGAGATTATCAACTGAGAAAATTGAAATACGATAAGTGATACATAGTATAAGTGGAAAATTTCTCAAGGTAAGTTCATACTTAGTAATATCTATTACCAAAAACTCAATAGTATGAAGTTCTACTGAAAACTAGGAGAAAATAAGTGATATAAATAATCATAGTTTTTACTTGAATTTAGTTTCGAGCTTATATGAGAATCTTAAAACTATTTGAGTACATATAATATTTTGCTTTTGTGAAATATTTGACACACACTTCTCTATAGTTCAACTGTCGAAATGTTTTAGATTTTTTTTGAGTGTTTGTTTATCTCAATGTTGAGGTAACATAAGTTAACAGGTAATTTCTCTGCTAATATCTTATCTAAACTGGTGAAATATTGAAATTAATGTAACAAATATTCAAGCCCAGTTGTATTCCTATTGTTTCAATGTAACATTGAAGCATCATGCATGAGACTCATTCGTTTACGTTTAGCAATAAAAATGTTTCATTATGAAAACTACCTCGTCATGAATGAGACATTTCTTTTGTAGACTATATCTAGCTCATTATAGACCGATTATCATAGTGGCTCACTTTTTAAGTGTTCTTATATTTCGCTTCAAGATCACAGATCTTTGTGGTCCGTTATCCATATATCTAATAAAGTCATTGTCACCGATTTGTGACTTGCATAAAGAGGCTTTAGGATTACAGCAAATTATTGGGGGAAAATATTTTTTATTTTTCGGTACATGTTAATCCATTAATTTGAAAAGTTACCTATCCTTTAAGTGAATATTCAGATTGACGTAAATACTACATACTACTCACATATACATTTAGATTTGTGAATATAGAACCAGATACTCAAGTGACATCTAGATATTGAGAAGGATATAGAGCTATATACAAACTGTAATTAATTTGCTGTAAAGTAGAGTTTTACGATTTTTGAAGAGATATTTTCGAATTGTTAGATTGATTGATGTCATGGTTGTAAATTTTAATATTTAGTTATAACATATAATTGAGTGATGGATGGTCGCAAGTCCAAAGTACTGACATAAACCCTCAAATAACAAGATGTGAGAAGACAAGACAATTATTTAACAACATGACACGCTTATTTAAAAAAAAATATTATTAAATATTCTCATTGTGAAAATTGGAACAACACATACTGGCGAACAAAAAACTGTTCTTGGAATCTTTTTTTCAGCATACTCCATGAACATTCGCTTATATGTGTCGTTCTAAAAATTATTAAACATAAAAATGAACGCGACTCAATGACAGTTAATAAATAAACAACTGTCAGTCATGTACCCTGAAATGGGTAGAATGTTTTATTATTAGGTTTAACTATTATCATACCATAATTGTAGTCTTAAAGTGATTATCGGGCAAATATACACAGACTAAAACAACACTTCGTTTTGGTTATAAAGATTACAGGTTGAACAGCATTAATAAAGAATATGAAGCAGTGAGATCATCAGAAATTTTACACATGAAAAAAACATTTGATGATCGTCTGGAACAATATAGGAATGAGATGAATGAACGAAGTCGGATAGAAATAGAACAACAGGTAAGGTTAACTTTTATCATTCTCTTGGATATGTCTTCAGTTTTTCCCATGATCTTGTTGTATTTTTTTAAGTTAGAAGATTTTTAGCAAATATGTATTTAGTGTGCTACGGTCATTAAAACTTTCTTCAGCGGTCTGACCATATTCTCGGAGATGTAACGGTTTACAGTTATTTATTAGTGCTCATTCCTAACCCCTTCCAATGCTGAAGTCACGATTGTTGATTCACCTTTTTAAAGTCAAATAGTCTGTAATTCAACATAGGATGTAATTTGCCAAATAAACCGGGAACTAAACTGTTATTATATCCAGTATTATAATCATAATAACACTTAACCTTTTATCAAGAAAGCAAAGGAATTCGATTCTGTGTTTATTGGAGTTTTTGTCAATATTTATTTTGAAAATGAATATGTTAGTCATTTTTATAAGACTCAGTTTACTCATATATTTGGAAAATCCGTACAAAGATACCATAGAATGCAGTTTGTGGATTACGATAGTTTTGGCGGTGTGCAAAATATGTATCCGTAAAGCAGGTCGAAGATTTGATTGAAGTATAGAATTGTCTGCTTCTGATTTGTGAATTTATAACTAAGACGTTATGCATCTTAAATTGACTTATGATAGTAAATTAGTCGGTAAAATTGTAAGAAGCTTACTGTGAGCTATCGGAAAAGCAATTGCCGTACGTTGTTGGTCAATCATTTGAATATTTGTTTCTATAATCTATTTATTTACGTTGAATTAGGGATTATTTAAAAGAATATTATTCATGTGAATACTATTCTTTATTTTCCTTGAGCTATGCAATTTAATTATATGGTGCTGAATATTGTCCTTAACAAAATCCTAAATGTAAACTTTAGTAAAATAAGTGGACTTTATTCTTTTTCTGAACAAAGAGCTAGTCAGATGTTACATCTGTATGAGAGGTGAAGTGAGTCATAACTTGATGAAGAATTTTGCATTCCTAGTCTATTATCAAGCTAGTTAAATGATTCCAGCACTTATTACGTTTCTCAACTATAAGCAACCTTTGACATTTCATGTTCATAGTATACAAATATAACATATCAGTTGTTTGTAGATATATGGAAATAAGGCTTTTTTTAAATTTTAATCTGTCATTTGCTTTAATGTAATTACTTGACAAAAAAGTGTTTACGAATTTAGATGCTTGAGTTTCGTCAAAATGAATTGAATTTATTGAAATCAGAGTTGGAAGAAGAATTTCAAAGACGTTTACATCAAAATATACAGCAAGTAAGATATCTATATACTTGATGTAATTTTAGTAAGAATGAATATCCATTTATATGATAAAAAAAGCATTATAAACAAAACTGAATCATTTTGAGTGATCTATCGTGTACCTCTGTCATTTCCAACAGGATTCTCTACTTCTTACGAATTACTTGCATAGGGGCTTTAAGATTTGAACTGGGCACTTTGCATTTCTGTAGTTTGGAGAGTTGTACACATTGAATACTGGATGAAGGGAAAGATCCTAGTAACCCAGAGCTTACATCCTGTATTTGTTTGCCATTTTTGCCTTTTTATGTTCATATACTTCATTATTTAACTATATAAACATTCCTATTTCATAATTCTAATAATCTTTTATGGTTACTATTTTAAGTATATTTATCTAAATTTAATCTGCTACTTCGGATGCGGACCTATTAACTAGAACATTTATTTTATTATTCTTATCACTACTAGCGCACCAGTCTTTCTATTATTAACTTGTACTTTTAACAGTCATGTAAAGTTATGTCACTTATTTCGTTGTGCTCATGCACTCATAAATTGCCCAATTTGGTTCAATGTTTTCATGTAACTATTCAAGTATTTAAGAGAATGGTCTGATGACAATCTGACTCGAAACAAAATTATTCACTTTCATGTTTTTTAAATTTCCCGGTGGAAATATTTATCTTGATTATAGTTACCGATGAGTTGAAGCATCTGGATGTTCAGTACAGATTCTAAAAGTTCCAACTTACTAGTTGAATGTTTAGCTAACATTAATGGACACTCGAAACTACAGTCTGGTTGAAGCTAGAAAATATTTAGTACGAGTATCTACCTACTCATGAGTAGTAAACATAGAATATATAAAAATACTACCACACACTGTAAAAGAAATTTTATTTATTTTAGTTACAAGAAGAATTTGAATTTCGCTGTCAGTCCCTCAATGAAAAAGAGCTGTTACTCAGAGACAAGCACAATCTGTTAAAACAAAAAGAGGAGCGTGAGGCATTTGTTAGACGTCAAGCTCTACAAGCTGAATTAGACGCTGTCCAGTTGGTAAAATCACAATTAGATCAAGAAAAACTCCAAATGGACAAGTTAGTTTATGAAAAATAAATTAATTTTTATGAGGATGGTTACTGTACACCTAAACTTTTAAGTTGTATGTATGATCACCTGTACTTCCATATGATTTAAATATTTTACAGAACGTTTGCAATCAGAAATTCAAAAAGAGAAAGTAGTATTGAATGATTTTTTAAAATAAGTTAAATGATTTCAATGATGTGCATTTAAAAGCCCCTTCGAGGAGGTACAAAACAGAAGATATTTATGCATTGCGCTAATTAGTTTTATCGTTTATCTGTAGGAACAGTAACTTACAGTGAGCAGTTTTGCATTTTGATTTTTTTCCTAAATCATAAAATCACTCTTCACTTCTACATGATAGTAATTGTAGTAGAATACTGAATTAGTTTGTTTTCAAGACTAGGACTTTCCGTAGAAAACATCTTAAATTTTTCCTCTGTTAAGCGAATCCTTGTCAAAAATTGTTTTAGGGAGATTAAAAAGTTTTGAACTATATCTGTTTCATTATATGATATGAAGATTGTGCTACCACTTGAAGTGCGTATGTCCTGAAGGAAGACTCCCTAAATCTCATTTTTTGTTTAGGTAGTTCTTAGACTATCTGAAAAAATGAAAAAATATGTCTACATATGTGTATATAATGATACTAACAGGTTAACGATTTACTTTTTGACTTTGTTAGTCAGGATATAATGAATTACGGTTTAACAGAACAATATGTCAATACTATAGTTCATTTATGATTGATTTCAAACGTCATGTCAAATACACAGCTATGCGACTAAATGAAGCTTTCGCATCAACAGTCACGAATGAACTTACATTTTTAAATTCTTTAAAGTTATCATGCTTTTGAGTAAGCTACTAATCATGAAGCTTATTGAAGAATTATTTTATGATTCACAACTTTTTAATATTTAACGGACACAAAAACCTGTGGTACATATAAAATGACTGTTATTATTTAATAGTTAATATTATTGATTTTTAATAAAATGTAATCTTTGGATTACAGTAAGTTAATTCTTTGAGAGATATTTCTATCAAATCAATACAAATTTCTTACAGTATTCTAAACATCATGTTTCTAATAGAGTAATGAAGTTTAAATACAAGTTGATTATTATTGCATATTTGGCTAGTTTTCGTTTTTAACCATATTTAACGTTTTTTTTGAGTGATTTTCTTTGATAGTTCTAAGATTAAATTAATTAGAACTTGATAATTGAGAATATATATATAGGCACAGAGAATATACTAAGTTTAAGAAATGACAAAACTTAGGTTATAATTTTTTGTCTATTAGTTTGTAACACCAAATTGTTAATATCATAAATTCAATAAAACCAAAGAATATTTTAAATTGGTTTGAAAAATGAATTTCGTTTGTCTTTTTGTTTTGATGATTAGTGATAAAATGCAGTTACAAAAAGATTATGAGAAAAATGAATTGGAATTTAAAAAGCGTGAAAATCTTTTGGAAATTAGAGAAAAAACATTAGAAAGTGAAATTCATGAACATGTGAACCGGTAAGTTAAATTGTACTTGCTGATGAACTATTGTAGCTTAATCATAAAGTGTATAGAAAAATTCCTTGATTGAACTGACTAAAATTATTCGGTTCACGATACCAAACAATACGATACACCTCTCACTTGTGTTTTCTTTCTAATAATTTCAATTGAGAGCCTTCGAAAACTGGTTGGGAAAGTCGGCAGAAACTAGAAGAGGGTTGAAAATATTTCCTTCAATCAGTAATTAATAGACTTCTAATAGAGTTCTGGGGAAACAATGAATTATGTGTTACGCCCTGATTGGTCGCTGTTACATGTAACATGTTGTTAGAAGCTTTTGGGATGTAAAGGTCGTACATAAACCTATAAAATCTTTGTTTCCTGTACTTAAACTAATCTAGGAAGGAAATCTACTTTTCATACTTTCCACAGGAAATCTTCTGTTTGGAATTCAAGCAGAAGAGATTTCTGGTATACTAGTAAGTGGTTCGAAAGTCAGGGTCGTACATCCAAGTACTAAGCATTCCAGTTTTATGTTGGTTCTGCATAGTCCTTTGTAGGACTCTATACCATTTCTAAGCATACTAATATTGATTAGCCAGTTGCAAGAAACTCATTTGCTATTTTAAGAATATATTTCGTTGTCTGAATGCTTAGTATTATAAATATTATTTATAAGAGAAATTATCATCTATAAGAACTTCAAAACTGTACGCAACATTCTTTTAGTCCATGTCATTTACGTCCCATATTGTAGAACAGTTGATGATAAATTAATTTAATAAGTCACGGTTAATTAGGTTTCTTGTTTATTCGATAGGAAACCATAATGTTTTATTAAAAATTTAATGATTTTAAAGGAAACTAATCAATCAACTTTAAAATGTTAGTTTTTTTTTAAAGAAAAGTTTATCTTAATAAATATCTGCCATGTTTGTTACGGTTTCTATCTAATTCTATGTAAAAATAAGTATATATATGAAGCTAAAATTTTATGATTACCATGTTGCAAAATAATATTCCATTTGCTTTCAATTACATTTTAAACAATCTACTTTTGCGTATATTCAAAAATGATGAAAATTATCGTAGTGAGCTATTATGTATGCTCTTGAAATTGTTATTAAAAAGATAATGTTGATTTAGAACTAAAGTTATATTTAAAAGCAGCATTATCAGTGATGACTTGTATACATTACATTTGACAATATAAAGTGATTGGTTCTCATGCATGACTGTGCATGATCTCCTCGAAGGTTGCCAGTAAATCTGATATGTATAAAATGTACATGTTTAAGTTTTTATCTCATAAAAAAGCTTCATGACCTGATCTTGGATACATATTCATGAGGAAAATTTCACTTCATTTTGCTAAATTTTCATTTTTACGTATTTTATAAACCATACTTGACCTTAATGAAATTTCATCCCATCATTTTTGAACATGACCTTGGATTTCTCAGTTTGACCTATTCACCATATTTTTGGCTGAATAAGACACTAAATAAGTGTATTCTACTAGTAAAAGGTGCCATTCTTTGTTCTCTCAGTACATTTAAGTATTCAATTACATACTGCTTGCTCCTTCTACCCTCTCGTAAATTTTTATCAAACTTCTAGTGATGTCAGTTGTAATGAAAAATAACCGATCCATTTATGGATACAATCTACTAACATGGTAGTATTGATGACCTTAAGCCATTTTACGAGTGGCCAACAGACTAACTAATTAGTAATTAGCGAATACGAACTCAGCTCCATTGAAGGAGCACGATATTAAAAAATGTACAAGTTAAGCACCCTAAAACTCATAACCCTTACACTGCATTTCAAAAGAAAATCATCGTCCAATGCATTTGAAACACGAAATGTAGTCACAATCATGAGTCTCGACAACAAGCTTTTTTTAATAGCGTGTTAGATTTGCGCTAACGATTAACAATCGATTTCTTAAATATGTTTGGTCGCTAAAAGACATCATTTCACGCGTAGCTACGGGTCCAACGTGAAGAAATTCGAATACTTCACTTTTATCTGAAGTTTGTGCTGATGATGTTATTCAGAAGAACAACGAAAGCTCCACAGAACGAAACTCTAGCTCAATCATCCACTTGAGGTACAAATTTTCTCCACAGTCTCAATTTCACCCTAATAGAAAAAAATTTTTACTCTGATTGTGGGTGATTTTCGCTTCTAATAAATACCAAAAATATATACACCATAAAATTCTGTCTGCCCAACTTAGCTCGACAGTTACGCTTATTTGCTACTCTCTGTCACGTTTGTTCTCATGACCCGTTTAATAAGCCATGAGCTTTATAATACGCATATTACTTTTTGTTTAACTGCAGTACAAACGAATGTTATCTCTCTTATGGTTTGACGCAATATTCTTTGAATTCTATGTGATAGTGTATGCATTCGAGTCATAGAATGTTAACGAGAGAATACTGTTAGAAATCCTACGAATAGTCGACGAGTATCGGTAATCTTCCTACTGGTGTCTAGTTCCAATGTAAAAGCATGAAATTCACCAAGACGACTGGTAAATGTGTCAAAATTATGTATCTACAGCGATAACAGGAAAGTGTGATTATTAAGAATATAGTTTGAAAAGAGAATGAAAAGCTACGTATGGAGAGAGGCTGGGATTCAAGGGATGGAAAACAAAGAACAAGGGGATCCATCTGAGCCATTTTGACCGATTCTGGATCATATCTTCCGATGTCTTCGAGTAGTGCTTTGGGTTATCATGCTAACACTAAATATACCAGTATGACTCGCACTAACAACCAGTGATTTGATAACCTCTAGCTTTCTTCCAACTTATTCGTACACTATCCTACATCACTCATCGGAGTAGGTACCAGTTAAGTATACGTGACACATCCCAATGACCTCAGTTGATGGTGAATCACAACCACATCAACCGTTTCGGGACTTATGCTTAATACCTTATATTTGGCCACAATATTGGTCTGTGTCGTTCTACGATCTAACTTCCTCAAGACACACCTCACTTTACCTCACGGATTTCCGTCTCCGGCGGTAAGGCCTTTTTAACAAGAGTGGAGCTAACAGTTCCAAGCATCCCATGAAAAGGCCGTACGTGACTGGCCTTAAGCAGTTGTCTCTTTGGCTCTGCGGTCACGACCCCAGGTCGCTAAGATCAACACTAATCCAACTTTCCTTTCATGTTCCTCAAGAAACACCCTTCCACGGTGTGGGCAGCCGGAAAGTGACATCCGCACTCATTCTTTATAAATCTGCATTTGTTTCGAGTCAGTCTCAGAACTCAGAAAAGTCACTATTTAAACCCACTATTTCTCACTTGTTTCGAAGCATGTATGGATGCCTAACTGTCTGTAACCTGAATGCAATATATCGATCGCGTAAAACAACAAATAAGGACATATTTAGTTCCGACATCAAACTTATTTTTTTAACGTTGTAGTTGAATTTTGAATTCTTCTTGTTTTCTGACAGAATTCGTATGGAAGATGAAATTAAACTGCTGAAACAACGCAAAGAATTAGAATTGCAGACTGTTCAACTTTCAGGTAGAAAATAAACATATAAAATTGTTTTATTCTAACTATTTTGTTAATAGAAAATCAGAAAGTGCTTGAAGAAAAATTAAAAACCGTTGAACTACTTAAACAAGAATTGGTAAAACAACAAAATAAATTCACAGAAATGGAGGTAAACATTGTTCAGTCTGATTGATATTTACCATGCAAATGAAAAGAAATAAGTCTATCAATGATATAATAATGAAGGCTCGATTGGCTTCTGCCAACCTGCGTCACTTATGGCGAAGGCGAGATATCCGTTTACTGAATAAAGGACGAGTGTACTGTGCAGTAGTTCGCTCCGTCTTACTTTGTGGCTGTGAAACATGGCCAGTGAGAGTAGAAGATATTCGTAGGTTACTGGTTTTTGATCATAGGTGTCTTCGAAGCATTGCTCGTATACAGTGGGACACCAAAGTGAGCAACGCTGCTTTTAGGAAACGGGTGCTAGGTAAGAATGGCAGATCAATAGATGAAGTATTGAAACTTCACCAGTTGAGGTGGTTGGGACATGTGCTGAGTATGCCTAACCACCGACTGCCTTGACGAGCTTTGTTTTGTAGTGTAGGAATAGGTTGGAAGAAAGCTAGGGACGGCCAAACGAAAGCATTTCAGAAATCCATGAGGTCATTGACAAGTGGACTGAGCCATGTCAGTAGATGTCGACTACCCGGTTGGGGTCCGCGAGACGAAAGTCACCAATGGTTAGAGACCTTGAATGACATGGCTCAAAACCGTTTGCAATGGCGCCGGTGCATTTATTCTTTGTGTTCTCTCAAATCCTAATCTTTTGGATTCTTCAACACCTCTACTTTTATCTTTCTAAACTTATCTCACTGAATCATACTTCTTGAATAATATCTTCTAATCCTAACCTCTCCGATTACTTCCAATACCTTTACTACCTCTTCTACTATTGGATTTGAATTGACAATTACATCTCTGTGCTGATTTGGTATGGTGACATGAACTGATGTACTTATGTACGAAGTTCTACGTTGCATCTGACTGACTGATATAATAATCAGTCAATTGAATTAAAACTAAAAAATTGTTAACAAGTTAATTTTATTGAACCCATTTTAGGCCTAGAATTCAAAAGACTCACCATTTCAAATTACATTACTTTTATATCGTTTCGTATTATTGCACCTTTGAAGATGCGAAAAAAACATAGTAAACAGTTATAGGGACTTGTAACAGATCGTTATTTCGAATAAAATCCATCAGTTTGCATTTTTAGGAGGTTAACTTTTAGTCTAATGGACAGATACATTAACATTGCTGATGAAATTGAAGTACTTTAGTGATTCTGTACTTTCAGCTAACTTTGATAATTAAAATTATCTAACGGTAATGTTAAAAGTGTTTGATATTTCTATCTTTTGTGGAGTTTCAGTTGCATTACTTGTAAAAGTTATTGAATTTCATTATAGATTCCAATATATTATCACTATTATTTCTAAAATGCTTCATTTTAGATTGTAGACTATGATACTATTAAAACTCAGAATGAATTGTTCAAAGCTGAAGTTTCCAGTTTAAAAAAGTAATCTAAAACAATGTTTTGTGTTACACTATTTGCTCATAAAACTGTATTTTTTTTCAATTGAAATATAATACTCTATTGTTTAGGTGAATTAAGATAGAAATGAATCATTCTATGACAATATCACGCTTATTAAACATTAATCTGTCATTTACTTCCTCAAATTTTGGTGATTTCATTTTCATTGACATCAAATTTTGTTCGGATTATTTTAAAGTATTTTGGCGACTTTATTTTTAGTGAATTAAAATAAGCTATAATCTATTAAACAATCCAGTTTGATGAAAACATTAAAAAAAAACTTTCACAGTTAAAATCTTCCTAAATGGCATGAAAAGTTTGCCTGTTTAGTTGTTAAAGTTTAACTTAATTCTTTTACTGAAATCATGACCCGATTAAAGTTGAACCATCATAAAGAACTTGAAAACATTGAAGGGCAGTTTCATCTTAGTATTATAACTCCTCAGGTTCTCAGTGATGGTCTAACTTGGATCGGTTGATGATTTCAACAAAAGCCAACAATCTCCACAAACTCTTTCTGTTAATTCTTTTAAGTGACCTATATCACTAGTTGTTTAAATGTTTGTCTTTTATGAGCTGGGTAATCTATATTGTATATTTTGTTTATTAGTTAAAAATACTTACTGTTATAAAGCAACGTCAATTAGATATTCATTGAAAACAGCAGGGTAGATTATATGTGATTGAACTGAAAGAGACCATTCTTAATCAATTCTCTATTTGAGATTATTTCTCAGTATGAACATTTTATAAATTTATTCGCAAACGTTAAATTCATACTGAATGTGTGTACATAATAAGTAGGTTAACTAAATATTACTCTTATAATGATCTCTAGTAGCACATGATACATGATTGTCTATTCAATTAAAATGTTTTGTTATTAGATAAATGTTTATTGAGTCATTTATGTTTTCGTAATTTACTGAAAAGTATTATTTATAATTAATTGTAAAATTAACGAAAACGTTTATACTGTATAGACCATGGTGACATGATCTTTACGACAGATAATTTCACTAACTTATAAAATAACACTAAATGAATGTTTGTTAGGAAATAAACCGACGATTACACTTTCAAACTACAAAGTTAACCTAACATATATTTTCAAGAAATATATACGGCTGTTATGATACTTTTTTCAGTTAGAGTTTTGGAGATTTGTGTTTTTACACAATTGGAATCATCAATCAATCATTGTTAGACCACCATTAAAAATCTGGAAGCACTGGACTGCCGTTTCGTTCTTGTATGGGACTCATCAGCAAAGCGCATCCATGACTCCTGCACCTCGCAGGATTCGAACCCGGGGCCTTCGGTATTGTGCGCGAACGCCTAACCGTTGGACCACTGGGCCGGCATCCGACGGTGTTACTGTCTAACTCTGATAGATCTAGGGATTTTGCGCGACCTCACCCATTTGTCTTTGGTAGTTATTGTCTACACCCGACAGGGTTGAACTCCATTGGTCACGTCTTCTCACTAGAACTCCGAGAATTTCCTCACGAAGCTAGTCACTAGTGAGCACCTGTTCGATATTTTTCAGTTAGAGTTCTGGTGATTTGTGTTTTTACATATTTGATGAGTCCCATACCAGGACGAAACGGCCGTCCGGTGCTTCCAGGTTTCTAATGCCGGTCTAACAGTAATAGATTGATGATTTCAAATGTTTTGATACTGTTGTCAAATTTGAATAAGTGTCATAGGATCTTGGTTAATTTTGAGATAATAAAAGAAACGCATCATAGTTATTTAGCAAGATGAAAATGATTCAGTGATGAAATTCTGATTTTTTTCATGATAACATTTATTACAATTTATAAATGATAAATATTACTTTATTTTAAAAGTTGTCTAAATTTTCTTCGCAAAAATGTTTTATTCGATATTCGAGAATTTTCGACAAAATATTTTGACAAATGTTTTAACTAGGTGACCTCTTTTTATTACTACTACTATCAGTTCAAAATAACAAGAGATACAACAACTGTACTGTCCATTTTAGTAATGATCTTGTTGAAAAGAAATTTTTCTTGAATTTACTGTATTTCACTTTATCATATGAATAGTATGATTTTCTTCATTTAAATTCAATATGAATATTGTGATGTTGAAATTGTTGAATTATTTATCTACTTATTCATATTAGCGTTAATATGATAGAATTTTTCAGAAAATACCCAATTTATTCCATTTTAATTAAAATTTTGATCGATAAAATAAATACAATGTGGAAACATACTACCAGAATTATTGAACTATCATCCCTAACTCAGTACAGATTGGGCTGTTATAACTGAGCATACATAATATATTAACCTAGTTTATCGATTTTGTCCTCATTATAAATTGGATTAATAGTTTATTGACTCGATAGCAGGTTAATAGTTAGTTAGCTTTATTCATTAATGATTTTGTTATAAGACCTGTACCGTATGTAAACTTAATTATTAAAGGTTAGGTACAGGCTAACTGTGCAATAACATGTTATGTACAATTAGGTACTTTGAGAAATAGCTGTTGAATGTGATTGGTATTATTTAGTTTAGCATTTCTCTAATATACATCTAACATATAGTGAAATGATCAAATGATCTAGAAAGCATTTGCTTTTTTAGAAATGTACAATTAACGTGTATAGATCATTTGTTTACATTGTTGTATATTGACAAATATGCATTTAGCTGTCATATTTCATTCCTACCTAGTGTTATTATTGGTTTATGTTCTGCTGTGGAGTATTTTTAAAAAATATTCATTACTTTAAAGCATTTAATATACACATAATCAGTATAAACAACATACAAAAAACACTTCAACTCTATCTACTTATTCTTGTTTTAGACAATTGAAAAGTGCTGTGATTGAATTGGAAGAACAAAAACAAAGTATGTCGAAAATGCTTGTAGTATGATTATTTGTCTAGAAATAACTTGCTGATCAATTTGGTGTTTATACTTAATGATATATTATTCATATGAATGAAAATGAGGTGTTTGTACCCCTTTTGAAAGCATATCTATGTTATAGATATGCATTTATAGATATAGCAATTATCGATAAATTATATACAGAGGTTTTCTCTGTGTAAATATTTATCAATAATTTTATTCACAACAAGGAGATAATCATGTTTCTTATGAGTAACCAGATACCACTATTCAGCATAGATGGAAGCGGACTGTGGCAAATATTTCGCATTTATTAGACTCGAAGTGTCACTTTGAGACTCTTGTGTTTTAGCATCGTGTCTAGAGGACCGAATTGACCTTGTTGTATTGATAGTTGACATTGTCTCTTGATGTATGTAGAGAGCAAGCTTAAAATATACATAGTTCCCCTATTAGTGGAGTCTAATAACTGTTTAAATGACTATTGGCGAACAAAGTAAACAGTAAAGTTGTCCTACGTGCTCTACTAAATAGCATAAATGGTTGGCGTTTTCTCGCTTGTTGGTAATATTAAGGCATAGTTTGCACACTTTATGCACACAAATTAAACAATACCACACCTTTATTTAGAGGTATAAATGAGCAGTAAGTGAGATTGTGAACCTTTTATAGGTAGGCTTACTGGATTTTGTATTATACAGGCTAAATTGATTAGAGTATGATAGTTAGATAAACTAGGATGCGACAACAAGAAGACATGGCATTATTTTATTAAGGCATTTAACTATTGCGGTTTAGTAGTATGTAGAACTGTTAGTTGACTTGTGTAGAGCAAGTAAACTAAGTGGTTAGAGATTACAAGTAATAATCCTTTAAATAAAAATGTTGACATATGCATATTCTTTGTCTCCAAGTTTATAGATTGTAAACATTATATGATGCTATGTTTGGCATCTTTAATTTAAGTATACACTTCTGTCTTTTTTTCCAAGTAAAACATCTTGAATTGATATGTAAGCTTCTAGAGTGTCAAAAGCAGTTTTTATGACTCGTGTTCGTTTTTGATTTACCTTCAGAGTTTCGACTTCGTCCCATTTTTAGTCATCACTTTGTCTAATTTACTTGCATTTTGTGAGTAGTATCTCAAGACCAGATATCTGATCTATACTTAATAGGTGAATCGAATTACTTCATTCTTTCGTCATGAAAATTTATTTTTATAAAACTAAGATTTATAGTTGACTCTAAAAACCATTCAAATTTTTATGCTACTTAATCAAACACAATGTAACTATTTTTTTTTACGCCATGTCTATATAGTTGCTGCATCGGCAACAACAGAATTAGGTGTACTCAAAGTTGTTAAACAAGAGATGGAGAAACTCATAAACACGTTAAATAACGATCATGCTGCGTTCGTTCAAGAAAAATTTACCTTACAAAAGAAATTAAATGAACAAGTTTGTTTCTTTTTGTTATTATTTTATCTGATAAATCTATGTATAGAAAAGTTCTTATCTAATGTAATAATTACCTACTTATGCCTGAAAAATAGGCCATTGACCAGCATTCTCTAACCAACTCTGTTCTGGGCCTCCCTTGATATTCATTCGTTTCATGTCCGTCTAGAATTCTCAGCGTATTGCGTTCTTTTGTCCTTGAGCATTATAAGTTAGGGCTTTCCTAGCGATGCAGTTGGGTGATTTCCGCAATCTGTGTCCTACCATCCGCAGTGCTTTTCCTAATTTCTTCCTCAGATACAGTCTGGTTTGTTTCTCTGTTGTTGCCAGTGGTGTCTAGCCAACAGATAAGAAGTATCTTGCGTAGAAAACTGTTAATAAACACCTGTATCTTTTGGCTGAGGCTTCCATAGTTCTCCAAGTTTCCGCACCATACAGTAGGACTGTGTTAACGTTCGTATTGAAAATTCTTACTTTGATATTGTCTGATAGTTGTATTGAATTCCAGCATTAAATCCACCTTGCTCATCAATGATCCTAACCAGATATGTAAAGATTTCTACATCTCCCAAAGCTTCTCTGTCAAGTGTGATTTCGTTGGTGCATGTTATGTTGTGTCGGAGGTTCTTTCTTTTTCCGTTGTGTGTGTTGATACCTAATGCTTCCGAAGCTGCTGACACTAGAATTCCTCAGTATTTGTAGTTGCAGTAGATTCTATGCATAGTTCGTGGAACCACTGTCTACACTTCACAGTACGTTTGGGACGATATTAAAACTAAGGAGAGGTGGCGTTATTTGCTACTATTTACAACTGTAAAATATAAGTTATTAGTCAAATGTGAATAATTCTTTATAAAAATAAAAAACACTTACTTACATGCTAATTCAACCTAGTTCCTCCTCCCAATGGAGCACAGCCCGCCTTCCTTTCCAGATCTATCCAATTACTGTTCATTCTGTTCATGTCTGTTTCAATTCTCGGCGTAATGCATTATTTGGTCTTCCTCTTCTCCTTTGGAGTTGAGGGTCCCTAGTGAGGTCTTGCACTGTGACTCAGTTTGGCGCTTTCTTCAGTGCTTTTTCCTAATTTCATCCTCAGCTGGAGTCTGGCTTGTTCTATCCACAATAGGTTGTTGTTGATAGTGCATGGCCAACGCGTCCGCAATATCTTTCATAGACAGCTGTTAACTAACACCTGTATTTTCTGGATGACTGTTTCGTAGTTCTCCAAGTTTCCGCTTCACACAATAGATCGGTTTTGACGTTCATACTGAAAATTCCAACTTTAGTATTGGCTGAGAGTTGTTTTTAGTTCCAGATGTCCTTCATTTATAGATATACTACCCTTACTTTGCTGATCTGTGTTTTCGTATCTGCATCAAACACACCTCGTTTATCGATGATGCAGCTCAGGTGTGTAGAGATCTGCACATCTTCCAAAGCTTCTCCGTCAAGTGTGATTTGATTTGTATATGTTGTGTTGTATCGGAAAATTTTAATTTTTCCCTTGTGTATGTTGAGGTATACTGATATGGTGGCTGCTGATGCGCTGATCATCTTCATCTGAATTTGCTGTTGCGTGTGCGATAGGAGAGCCACATCTTTTGCAAAGTCCAGATCAGCCAACATCATCTGAGCTATGAATTGTATCCCTTGCTTGCCCTCAGATGTTGACGTCTTCATAATTCAGTGAACCACCAGAAGAAAGAGGAAGGGTAAGAGTGCGCAAATTTGTCTGACACTGATCTTCACTTGAAAAAGTCTGTAGGCTGTCTTCTATCCAAGGTCTTGCGGGTTAATCCCTCATAAGAACCCCGTATGTTGTTGACTGTCTTCTCAGGCACACCATAGTATCGACGAAGCCTCCAAATTGTCATCCTGTCCATACTGTCAAATGCTTTCTAATAGTCAATGAAGTTAATGTAGAGTTGTGAGTTACATTTAACTGATTGTTCCACAATGATCCGCAATATCATGTGCTACTTAGTCGGTACATGATCGAACTTTACAGAATGTAGCCTGCTGATCTCGAAGTTGAGAGTTTAGTGAATCTTTCATTTAGTTTAACAATGCTCTGTTTAAGTATTTTGCTGGTATTGAGAGTAGATTGATGCCTCTGTAGTTCTCACGCCGACTGAGATCTTCCTTTGGTATCTTGATTAGGCGTTGAGTAAATATATCCAGTCAACAAGATAAGCAGTGTAAATATAAATCGAAATGAAAGTTGAAAATGAACAACGTGTGAAAAGTGGAAATTGACCATGTAATTATTGCCTAGAGACTGTTTTTATTCATTCAGTTTAGTATTAAGTTTATTCCTACTTTAAAAATTCGTGTCGATTAAATTAATAATATATTTCTACTAAAAAAAAACACAAATAAATTAGCAAAATGAAATATACCGACTCATGGAACGTCTTGCTTTATGCGAAGGGGAAAATAAACTGAATCATGCACAAAATATTGAAGCTTCCTTTGCAAATTATTCATCTAAGCAAGATCAGAATCCAAACAATCCGCAACTATTAACTGAAGCTGAACGTCGTTCAATTTATAAAGGTAATCTAAAATTATGTTTTATTTTGATGATCCAATTTTCTTTCGCCTTTAATAATTTTTCTATTTTAATGAGTGGCTAACATTTTTTTTGTTGGTTCATCGTATTTATCTATTTGAATCTAAATATATTGGAATTTGTAGCAGTGAAACACTGATTCATTTCTAGAAGCCTAGATATTTCATCGGGACCTCAAAAATATCTTTTTAATTGAGTTGTGGAGAGTTGTTTAATAAGAAATAGTTTTCCCTGACATCAACCTTAAAGGAAACCTAATAACCAATCAGTACTATATAACTGTTTTCAACTGGAAATTTATGGGTCCAATTCCTCATTAAAACGCAATTATGCTACGCTGAAAAGCCCCAAAGAAGAATAAAACTACTAGCCACTTCCTTCTGACTCTAAATAGTCTTTTGGCTGCTATCTGTGATGAAACTAAGAATAATTTTCAGCACTGGTTATGATACAGTATAGAAATATACTACTTGAAATTTTGTGAGTGATACGAAACATTCTTTCACTTCATGCTAGTTCCTGATATCAACAATTCATGGGAAACGAATACTCTTACCATCAGAAATCCATTACAATGCATAAATCAACAATAAAATGTAGCTAGATTAATAAGTACAAGTCAAGATTGATTTTCAATTGGTTTAAGCTCGTACACATACACACACACACTAACAAACAAATTGCATGAGTTTGTTTATCTGTAGCGAATTTACTGTTAAGTGTTGTGTGTTCACCTAATTAACATTTGATAATGATATGCATATTTTGTATTCAATAAATATTGTATGTTGAAAATTGTACTTCAAGAGTTGATTCTATAAAAAAAAATATATAGTCTGCAACCATTCGTACAAGTATTATACCGAAGCATATATCTAGAATTAAATTTATTTTCATGAATTAGTCTCTGTTCCTTTATGTAGTAAAATAAGCGAGTAAAGTTTTTGGGGCCAATGATTGTAGACAAATATTTATCAATTATTTGACTTGTTCAGGCAAATATTACTTTTCTGGCTAGTTTTTTTTAGTGAGTTAGTTTTTTTGTGGGTTGGGGTCGCCAACCCCATGTACAACCCTACTCCTTTATCCGGGCTTGGAACCGGTAGTGACGTCAAAGGGGCTCCAGGGGAGGTTTCAGACAAATATAGATGAAGTCATATTTGAACTCAATGATATCAGTCGGTAAATCATAGGCAGCATATGACACTTCATGAAGATGTACCAATTCAAGCTATCATACTTCATATCAGTACATTTAGTAGTAATCGTCAAACAACATACCAACTGTAATGTCAAAATCATTATAAGAAAATCCAGATGGGAAGAGAAATTATATATAATTATATATAATTATATATAACTATCTATAAATGAAATTTCTTTGTATAGCATTTGATTCTAACGATCTTATCTTGCATACATTGTTGTAATAATTTGCCTTATTGTACTTTGAAGTAAAATCGAATAAATTGAAAAATGTTAGCAGTTTTGTTTCATTTTCTTTGTAATGTTTTCTATTTTTCGATGTTGTGCTGCTGAAGAATGTAATCTGTCGATTTCAAGTGATTTAAGTCATGAAAGTATGATTGATGCAAATAAGCATGGAAAGTCATGCATTAAATCCACTCAATTATCAATTGATCCTAATTCTAACGATTGGTTAAAGCGTTTAGAATTATCACGTCGTCGTATGGCTCAATTACGATTGGTTAATGAAGAGTTTGATTCAATTTACGAAGAATGGAAATCAGTTGATTTAAAAGAATTTTTATCGAAAATTAATTGTGACTTACCGACTTTCTTGAATGAGCATAAATTAGATCAATTAATTAATTTGAACGATGTCAACTTGTCCAATCATTTATTCATGACAAACAACAATACTGAATCGGATCATGTTAAGGTGAGTTTTAAAAAAAATTGGTTCATTGTATATACAAAGATATTTACATTTCAGATTTACTTATCCTCGTTATCAGCCTTTAAAGACTCTATTTATATGTGAGTTCAATGATTACGAAAATAGTTTTCGAACAGACTTTTATGCAGCACCAATTGCAAGTTCACATTTCTGTTTTTCTGCCCTTTAAGCTCTCTACAATAAGCCACATATGGAGCCTGCGAAAAACATACATTTGCTTCCTGACTCAAAGCTGATATTCTCTTGCACAATATACTACATTAATGCAAACACTTTCCTAGATTCATCATGAACGTTTTCACATTCATATTATTTCCAATAATTTTTATTTAGATGGTAAACTGGGTTATTTCAAACACAATTTTCATGTCAAGTTTGTTAATCAAGTTCTGTATTTGTTTTAAGAAACGTTGAAACATTTACAATCATTTCACTTAGTGAAAACTTTTAGGTGGATTAATTAAATTGTTTGTAACTCAGTACTTAGCAGAAATATAGCGCTTAATGATCCTTAGTCTGGCTGTATTGATTCTTCATGCAAGTCTGTAACCATACTTAGATTTATGTGTATGGTCAGTAGGCAAACATTATGTAAGATATCTAGTCATACTATATAACTTCCCAAATTTGAAATGATAAAGCACAATTGACGTTAACTTATTAACGATTAGAAAAAACAATCATTTCACTCACTAAACTAGTTATTCGACTTACTGTAAGTTCAAATTTAAATTGTAAAAGTTCAAATTCAGGTTTTTTTATGTGATATTCTGTTCATTAAGTCAGTAACAGTTCATTGCTACTTTAAAAACAGCTACAACATACAACAGTATTTATTGATCAATGAAAATTAGGTCAAACTAAGTTCTACTCAATGATATTTTTGTTTTTAATTTGAAAAAATTTGACTTTCTAAAGAGCAGCCATTGGTTGATATTCATTAAACGTTGACAATGAATGGTAAACTGTCAATATGCTTTGTATGATAGCTTTTTTTCATATATCGAAATCAAATATAAAAACTACTTTCTGTTGTTTGATGAAGTAATAATCAACAACTTTATTCCTGAAACTGAACAGTAATCTTTAAATCCCCAATCTTAATTTAATTTAAACTCTAAAGTATTGTGGTCAACTAATCGTTGACATTGTAGAGGCTTGTATTAAGCTTTTATAAAACTAAATGTTTGAATTTCCGCTTTGAAAAAACTTGATAGAAAACCACTTGAGATGAATTTATTTAAATTAAAATGAGAACGGATGTTATGCAAAGTTTTGAGGATATATAAACTAACTGTAAACAGAATACATCGTGGAATTTTTTAGGAGATTCAATTGAAAATGCAATATTATATCTTTTTTTCCTACTCTTGTGTGTAATACTATACTTTCCTCAAAGTTCTCTTACATTTCCCCAATTTCCTCACATATTGATCCGAAATTTTACTTCTTTAGCCTGACTTTTTTTTGAGTTTCTAAAAAGTTCACTTTTCGAAATTACTCATACGTTTTGTTACTGCATAACAGTGCTTGCAGGTTTCTAATGGTGGTCTAACAATGATTGATTGATGATTTCAAATGTGTCATAACAAATTTGCCGGAGTTAAAAATATAGATCATAGTCTTCCAAACAAGTGATCCAAAAGTACTAGGATTGATAATTCCAAGTTCGATCCTACGTGGGAAGTTGCACATGTGAATTTAGCTAACAAGTCTACTTTTAAAACTAAACACGCTTCTATGAAATTTAGTTTGTGATTAGCAATAAAATTCAGAACACATGTTTCGTACTATTTAAAATTCAAATACCGGGTATGTCTGGATTCAATTGATGATGCCCTTACTGAGACTAAAACCTATCGATTATCACTTTAAACGTTAAATTCTATATACATTAAGCTAATGACTCCGGTTAGCCAGTATACTAATTCAAAGGATATGGAATTTATTTATACAGCTTTGCATTTTACCACGGTGTTCAGAGCTCGCTGAATTCCAACAGTCCTTCGGTTGATATAGATCCATCATATAAGTCATTTTTAAACTAAAGAAAATCACCATAAAATACCTAAGTAGACTTATAGTGATGTAGACATTCCTCTTAAAACCAATGTAATATAGATCAATGTATTTGTCACAACGAATCGGTAATTCATGAATAATCTAAATTCAGAGAAACCAAGTTATTACTATACAGTCAGCTAACTAAGAGAGATAAAGGAACACTATGCATCTGCACAAACATGAATAATCGGTAACTATTGATGATTTATATTCAAGATACTAGGCTTACCTAATCCAAGAATATTTTACACAACTTAATTTGATACTTGGTAACATTATTGACTAATTGTTGGGGACGTTAAATCTCCATAACTCACTTGGAAAAGCTCCTAACTTTGTAATTTTATTTTGGAATCTCGAATTTTATGTCTTGATGCCAAAGGCGATCATCTTGACCTTCAGCTTTCATTTCCCTTCGCAAATCCTTGACTGTTATTGGTTGATGGATTATTTTAATACGCTATTTTGCGGCTCTCACCAAGGACGTTTCATCATTGTATAAATAAGCTTATTCACCTCGTACATTCTGGTTGTCGGTGGAATTTATTTCTCTACGTCCTGACAAGACTTAGACCTCTAGTTAGAGTGGCCTGGGACGATCGGATTAGAGTAACCTATCGTTTCGCTGAATCATTGATCATCGTTCCGTTACCGAGTAAGGTGATTCGTAATAGCTCAAGCATATCACTAATGAGTAAAAATGAGTCGCAATTTTTAAGTTAATCAGGATTGAGATAACAAAATTGGGTTTTTCTCTGTTTACAAGAAGTTCAAAAAGCAATTTGAGTATCTTTAAGTACACACAGCCACTACATTAAAGATAGATTTTTTAAAATCGTACTATAGGTGCTGAAAATTAGTACGAAAATGTCTGTTGTGCATTTCTGAAGTGAGTCAAGTAACTGTTAGATCAAAATAATATGAAATATTTAACCCGTTTGTTGCATATTTTGTTTAATAGCATAAATATTTAAGAATTCGGCACTGTTTCTTTTGTTCAAAGTAAATTATCTAACAAATCATGTTTATAGTGTATCATCGACAACTGATAAAGATTTTCACATATCTAATTCCTCATTTATTGTCTTACAAAGCTGATTAGTAAAAATTTCATCAACCTAAACAAAAATAGTCGTAACAATCAAGAGAAATTATCTTCAGAATTATTTTTAGCTTTCTTGATTAGTTCAAACGATGAATCTTTAGGAATCATATAGATAAGTTTCTTTATCTATAATTCTCTTATTTAAAGATAGAATGTCAATTCACAAATATTGAACGTTTTTGAATTCATGCGGAAAAAACACTAGATACATCCACTTTTGATAACTTTATTAGCAAAATAATCATAAAATGAAATGTTTTTAATATTAAAATGTTATCATTGTTGCTTAGTGTTCCATCGATGTCCCACGTTAGGACGAAACAGCTGTCCAGTGTTTCAATGTTTTCAATTGTGATCTAACATTCATCAGTTAATGATATCAACAATATTGTTTAATCCACTAATTTAATTTACCGCTTATTGATGAAGACTAATAAGCGCGTTAAACAGCACCTTGATGTCTCATTAGTTATTTAGTGGAGTATCAGCCCAATCGATGATGATAAATAACGTCTATTTATTCTTCGTGTGACAATTAACGTGATGGGCGAAGTAGGCGGTACACACAAACTTGAATAAAAACAACCAAGAGATCAGCGAATAATAGACAAGGTTGAAAGATGTGTGAGCAATAATTCGACAAAAATAGATTAATTATTTGTCCGAAGGCTTGGACAAGCTCTATGGACTCGACATAGGAGTATACGCTCTTCAGGCTAACATCCAACTCTTTGTGCACAGTGATGACTTGAGATCTATTAGAAATATTTCCTAAAGGATATTAATTTAAATTAAACAAGGCAATGTTATTGTTTCACTGGATTATTAAATACTCAATACCGAGACCAACTCAATTTATGTATTGATTATCATCACCTTGTGATCATGCACTGAAAACACTGAATTAACAACTTACAACAAAATGTTTAACAGCGACGAACATTCACTAACAACTCTGACCTTGTTCAAAGTTATTGATAATTTAAAATTCGAGTTATAGTTTACAAAGTATTCAGTTTTTAAAATTAGCGTTATATTGAAATCGTGGAATCTTTTAAAAAAGTTGATACAACATATTTTTTATAGCTCGATTAAAAATACAGCTTAAAGTAGATTGAACAAATGGAATATTTAAGATTTTTCATAAATATGAACCATTCTCAAAGTTAGTTTGAAATTCTATAGAAAAGAATGATATTGAAAACAGAAATTAGGTAAGGAATCGATTCTAGTCAATAGATTGTGTTATTTCTTTCCACATGTACATAGTAATAGATGTATTGTAGCGTTTTGTGAAAACATCAATAAGCTTCAATAAAAGTCAAATTATCAGTTTGAATAGGAATTCTCTAAATTTATTGCATTTACTTTTTTCACTTCCTGAGTTTTATTTTTGGTTTCACACATTTTTGTAATTAAGAAATGGGAGAAAATATTTTGGAAGTTGATCAATGCCAAGATAATTTCAATGTAAACAACTTCAATCACCAAATGGATTTATTTATAATTTTAAATGTAGTAATTAAACAAATGAAAATGGGTAGCATATTGAAAATCGTGTTCACCATAGTCCCTGGTGGTGTGTGAGTGTGTGCGTGAGCGTGTGACTATGTGCTGATGTTAGATCTCATTATTGAGTGAAACAGCTATTCACTTTCCGTTCACTCTACAACAATTATGTAACTAATGTCAGTCTAAGTTAAAGATAATTCCCAGAATGAATAAAATTTTCATAAACTATCCATTGAAACTACGTAGATGATTTAAATTTACGTTAGTAATCAATGAGATTATTTATTTTTCTATATTGTTGAATCCTTGATACACAATATCCTTTAATTTTCCTCAATATTCGTTAAAAATTTCTATTATTGTAATGACTTTTTTTCACATTATCTACCAACATAGCACCATTGTGAACTTGATCAACAGGCTGAAATGCATCCGTGTCATGACAATGAACATCTGACCTCAGCTACTAAACTTAATCCAGAATCGAAGTAAGTATATTTCTTTCTTTTCACAATATCTCCTTAAGAATTGACTTTGCAAAGGTAGGTAGGTGCCTTGTGGTATTTTTTTCATTAAAATGATCATTCATTATTTGTTTGAATATTTTTAAAACACTTTGATTTTTCAAGCAATATATTATAATTAAACTGACTGTAGGTACATTTTGAAAGGAATCGTTGTAATGAGAGTGTAAAGCATGAGGGGGAGAGGAGAATATAGTAATTTATTAAATTTTAATTCCTAGATCGTCTTATTTTATCAAGTTAAATAATTCTTTTCAACAAATAGATACCTGATTAAAGTGGGCCGATTATTATTGACACTCTTTAGAACAAACTACTGCTAAAGGATGCAACGAACCCTAAATTTTACTCACCTATAGATAACCATATTCATCAAGTTTCGTCAAAATAGATTGCTTCATTAACTGAAAAGCTTAATCATCAGAATAGATGTCTATGTAAAAAGAAGAGCTATTGAGGTACAGTACAGGTGATTTGTTGTTTTAGAATTAATGCTTTGCTTTTAGCTTCATTAAGTTTACGCGTTTTTCAGTATCTATCTACATATAACCCATAATTCTGCACATTCAATTTACTATTATTATTACTATTCTTCTCTCTCTATTATTATTATTATTATCATTATATACATATACAAGAAATATGAAGACAGAATCCGAACAGATGAACCACAATGCACAACTTCATTTCAATGCAAGCATTATACGAGATCGTCCAGTCAGTTCATCCAGTATTGATACACCGAAATCAAATAAATTAGGTAGATTAAAATAATTCTTTTCATGTTAGTAAAATCTCATAGTTTTATAAAAAAAAATCTATGGCAATTTGCTGTCTTACAGATTATTATTAATCATAGAATTTATTATTGGTTAACAGAGACATTTCAATGTATAATTATATATTCGTGGTTAAGAAGTTTGTCGAAATTCAAAATAATAACTGAATAGAAATTGAACTTCAAATTTAAAGGAAACATTTTCGTACTGTAATATTCAAAATAGTCTCAGCGGTCTAAATTTCAGTTATTCCAGTATTTCACCCTTCAAACAGGTCTGAGCTTTTTCTATCAAATAATAAGAAGGAACATGATTATTTAGATTTGGTTACTATACGTCACCAGACGTCCATGTAGTAAGTGTTCGAAAAGATGGCGGCTCACCATAAAAATGTAGCTCAAAAAACTAGCCTTCATCTCAGTACTGGCTGTGTGGCGGGTAGCATTACAAGAAATCCTGTTCATAACTAAACCATCGTCGCACTGAATGCCATTGTTAAGGATACAAAGAAATGCACTGCAATGCACGAATGAATTGACTTCATCCAGTGAAACTTTATTCTAAGAAATATGAATTTGGTTTTTCAACCTACAAAATATTAGTAGCTCAAAACTAAGCAGAAATTCACCGTCCAAGGAAATATGTAACCTTGGGTGGTAATATCCACCAGCTTGATATGGCATCCGACATCACTTTTTTTATTAGTCCAGAAATTTGGAAAAATGATCGAAAACCTCCATTTCTCTCAATGACGTCGCTGGCCCACAGTGTTTCTGATGGAAAAGTTAAATATTATCGGTGAATTACCCTGCACTGTATCCAAATGTAATACAATAACGAATACAACAGTATATTTTACAGAGTTGATTTATTGAAATTAGACCTGATAAAGATGCTACAACTAGCAGAACATTCGATAAATAATATTTGTAGCTAAGTCATAACCAGAGATAAACTGAAGAACACTGTGCTAGAAAGGCATCGCCACACGGCGATTGGAGAGTGTACGAAGATCAAGGCACTACTAATCTTCAGATCCGGAGCTAAACCCGTTTATCGTCCTAAACAACCAGTACCTTCTTCAGCCATACCCTTTGTTTAGCAGGAGTTAGATTGTCTCCAGAGGATGGATGTTAATTGTAGTAGTAAACGTCTCAGAATTGGCTGCACTAACATTAGTATATAAGGAATCCAACGAAAGTGTACTTGTGTGTGTGCTGATTACTCAACTGGTTTCACTGAAGCTTTAAAAACCCAGCAGTATCTTTTTTCACTACCCGAGGATCCGTTTTGTTAAACTGAATGGCGCAAGCTTTGTGCGAAGTTAAATTTATCAAATTCAAGTGGCCAATTAATGTAAAGAGCTCCTCACTGTTGATACAGAGAGTGGATTATTTCGATAAAACTAAATGTCCTTCGGATTTAAGACACCACTATCCATTTTCTAACTGGTTATGAATACGATGTTACAAGAACATTCAGGAGTAGTAGCGTATTTGGATATTATAATCAAGGGAGGAGATAAAATGGACTTGGGAAATAAACCTGACCTGGTGTTAACACCTATAGCTGAATATGGCTTTTATCTCCGCTCAGAGAGTGTGATTTTTCTATACACTAGGTACGATATCTCGGTGTCAGTATAAATGAAGACAGAAGATAACAGAGCCAGAGAACATTGAAGCTATCGAAATCATACCTAAGTCAATGGAGATTCCTACCCTACGATCTTTCCTGGAACTATTTGGTCATTGTGGAACTTTTCTCTCTGATTTCCATCTCCTACAAGCTCCACTAAACAACCTACTAGTAATCAACGTCAAACGTGATTGGTCAACAGAATGTTTAGCAGTGTTCGAGAAAATCAAGCAACTCGGAGCTTCCAACCTCTTACTTACGCATTATGAACCCTTCTTACCCGTTAAGGTTGCTTCAGATGCTTCAGTTTGTGGTATTAGGGTGGTTATATCCCACATAATTCCTGATGGATCTGAGAATGTAATGTTTGCACAGCTAGATCTCTAACAGCAATAGGACTCAACTACAGTCAAATCAAGAAAGAAGCACAATCAGTTATTTTCTTACTAAAGAAGTCCCACAAACTAATATTCGAACACCATTTCACCCCATTGACTGATGACATACCAATACTAACTGTATTTGGGTTGAAGTAAGATATTCCTGTTTATACAGCAAACAGACTGCAACGATGTGGTATGATATCAAGATAAAGTATCAACCCACAACTGACTTTGGGCTAACAGACACCTCATCTAAATTTACTAGTCCACAAAATAACCATGAAGAAGTCCTGGTGGCAACAATTGAAATTGAAACTGAGGTTCGTCGAGTTTTAGGTGACATAGTCGATAGTATTCCACTTACATTCACAGCTATCAAAGAAGCCACTAAAGACGGTTAGGTATTACAAGAAGTAACGGGTTAACTACCTACTCACCCAGTGACACAAGGCGGTCATTATTCAGCGATCGACGAATTGTGAAAAGAGATTTCGTTACGTGAAGAGAGCCTTTACTTAAGACCGCTTACTTCAGGTCCAATGAGTCGTATTTCTGAATCCCATCAGTATGCTATGCAGCTCAATCAACATGATGCACACTTCCGTCGCCATGTATGGCATTGAATATTCTCCAAAACAATGCGAGATGAAATTTCAATCTTCTTTGTTTACAAAATAAGATATTGTTGCCATCATCATTTAACAATTTAAGTGAATCAAAAACGATGTGGGTCATTGGGATAAATGTATTGGTTTGAGGAAACCATTTGGTCCTTAAATCACCTTTTAGGTGAACTAATTCCTCTACTAACATGAAACTTATTGAACGTTACTGACACTTTAATCTTAAACTTTAATATTAAACTATAATAACAAAAAATAAAGTCATGACTGATCTGTTTCTTTTTGAACTGTTACCAATCAGTTTTATGAAACTACTTATATTTGTTTTAAACAATTATAGTATTTTTCCATATTTTACAGCCTTGAAAGAAACATTAAGTATAAGTTCACATAAACCTATAAAATCATCTTCAACTATCACTCATCATAGTTTTAAGAAGAAACCTAGTGATCACCTTGCAATAAATAAATCAGATGTCGAACATTCTACAGAATCAATATTTGAAGCTGAATCTACCGAGAATAGAACTTCAAGAAATTCTCAAACTAATTCATTCGCAAGTGATATATCATATCGTTCTGTTTCGAATCGATTTGACACGAATAATGATGATGATGATGATAGAAATAAATCTGTGCATAGTGAACATAATAATCATGCAAAGGAAGAACAAGAAGAATCGATTAATTCAAAGAAAGCTAATTTCAACGATAAAATTGCCAATAATTATACTGGTGATAATGTTGATAATACTGACAGTATTAAAAAAAAGAATCATGACACTATTGAAAATGGATTTCCATTACTTCTAGAAACCTCACGTTATGATCGTGTAGGAGGTGAGCATAAAAATTTCAATAAATATATATCATGAAAATGAAATTAATTTTCTACCTCTTACTTAATTTATTTATTCCATTTGGCTTATGTTATGACTTGTTTTATTTCATTTAAAAAAAATCGGTAAACAGTAAACAATCTGAATGTGTGATTTGTGCGGAATTTCATTATTTGAGCTGGATAGTTTGATTTTGAAGCTGTTATTGTTCATTTGGACAGCGTTATTAGTTCAGAAAATGAAACTCCATCAAAATATAAGTATTATTACTGTCATCATTGATTATGGCTGAGTGAATTTTTGAGCCGATCAAAGAACGCGTTAAGTGGTAGAACGATTGTGGTGTAGTTTTGTGATCTGAGCTCAGAGAACGATTATTTCAATTTATCTGTAAGCTATAACATAACAATTTTGACAGGCCACAAGTAATTATTTCTCCGTGGTTATGGTTAGCAATAGCACCAGCATTAACCAAGTTTCCTCAGGATACATTTTTTTTCTATAATATAATCAGCGAGGAAGTAAAAATCGCTCAAATACCTCTAACATTACTCAAGTTCATCATAGTCTCAACTAAAGATAGTGATTTTACCAAGTTACTTATCAAACCATCCATAATCGAGTGATCGAATTTTCAGTTTTTAGGAAAATTTTAATTAATTGAAACAATCATATGATGTATTATTAATGGAAGTTGCTTGTTAATTCTAACTTATTCATATATAATTTGTGTTACTCTCGATTTTCCATTTTCATAAGTAGGAGAGTAAATCAATAGCAGTATGAAACTATAAAAGTATATTAGTGTTTTGAATTTATATTGGAAAAATATATCTTAGATAGGTTACAAATGAATTTCTAATTTACATTATCATAGTGACATTGATATTAAAATAGTTATAATTAACAAGTATATAACTAAAAATTCCTCATCAAACAAACAAATAGTAAACCAATGAATGTTTTACTTTAGTTGACTTTCATCATCATTATTTCAGTTATCAGTCAGTCATTATCAATATAATCGCAATCATGTGTAATAGGCGTTGAAATAATGATAGACGCTAAAATAATAAGAAGGACTAAATACTGAAGAAACTCATCGAAAAGACAGAATAAAAAGGTGTATATTGGAAGGACATCCGGATTCGAGATCTAGAGTAATGTAAAGATTAAATGCGTCTGGTTCAATATCCAGGATGCAACATCTCGAATCTACTGATCTCGATTATCGCATGAAACCCTATCAGATTGTCTGATACTATTGATACAGATTAGACTATAATAGTCATCTACTTCATAAAATGTTCATCATTGTTATTACTCCTCATTAATACGCAGGTTTTTTTTCCACAAAAATTATTCATAAAATCAATAACATTCAAGCATAACATTAATTGGTTGACAGTTTGTTTTTATTCAGTTCAAAATAATCCATCATATATGTAACTGATATTAGCTTAGATAGTATAGATCTTATTGTGGGATGTAAATCGTTATAAAGTAATAATGAAATAATTAATCGAAGGAAATGTATATGCTCTTCATGTTTTCTGAAAAAAAACTGGGCCAACTGTCACACACACACACACACACACATTTATCCTTTCGTCAATTGCTAAGCATTATTAATGAAATGAAATTAATTTTAAAATACAGTATAAATGATTTGTATAGTTTTTAGTGGAACTAAAATTATTTACTTTGAGTGAAATGCAGAAATGATTTGTTGTACTTTTCTGTTTCGATTTAGTGGTTTTTCGAAACTAATTGACATAATTTCATGTTTAATTATTATTTAAATAGCTGTTTAATATTTAAAAGTATATTTATTCATTTTATCATATCCAATATTTATTATGAAATTGTATCACGGGATTAGAACCGGTTGTCGAAAAAATCTCCACTCAAAAAAAGCAACATCAGGAATTTCATGACTATTTTCTCAAGTTTATATTATTGACTTGATAACAATTTATACTCTTTATAATAGACGTGTTTAGCTCTATCGGCTATGAAGACAGATAAATAGAAACGAGTTTTGAAGGTGTTTATTTAGTCTATTCTATCATGAACATAAATTAACTGAGACAGAGTTGGGCAGGTTTGAATCCTCGGAGAATCCTTGTTTCACCCAAAATTACATGTAAACTATGCTGATAAGTACTAGCTAGTAGCATGAATAACTCAGATCTGGGATATCGTTGAACTCTACCCTGACTGCATACTTTCAGTTATACCAAATTCTATTCAGAACACAATTAGCTTTTACAAATTTTTTTAGGATTTATGATGACTAGTTTCAACAGACATGTTAAACATTGAACAGATTATATTTCTGGTTAATACTTATCATTTAACCCGATTACGCATACTGTATGGTGCACTGTACAAAACGAATAACAGCTTTGTTAGTTGACAAAAACTGAATTGCAGTCCTGTAAAAACTGTTAACTTGTAATTGCAAAAAAATATCAAAAGATTTAGTCACGTAACAATGACATCAATAAAGAAATTAATGCAAATCAGTAGTCTTTGAACAGTTGTTGATTTTACCTATCATTAACAGAGATCAAAATCTTGTCATTTTAATGCTGCTGCAACACTTTTCCAACTGAACTACTTTTATAATTATTTCCTGAATAATATCAGTTTTTTGATGAGAAATGTTTTTAAATTTAATAACTTTGTAAACATTACTAAATTGTATTTTGGAACATGTTTTTATAATCATTTATAATTCTTTTTTTGTGAATAACCAATCGAATAATATGTGGTGCTGTTTGTGCATACATTCACAATGTTGAACTCATATTTCAATTAATGTGGCTTCATTCGAAAAATTTACTATTCTGCGCTCATTGACTCATCAGTTTTAGATTAACTTGAGTGGTTTCATCAAATAAACAGATACGTTTAGAGTATTGGAAAGTTAGAAATAACTTCTGATATAAAAGGAAATGATAGAAAAAGGAAAGTATACATTGAAAGTATTATATTATAAACGAGAATTGTATAGTTATTTTTTGAAAAAAAAACAAGTTAATCTCTAAGCACTGAGATATAGGAAATATACACAATATAGAGAAATAACATTTTAAGATAAATAAATCTAATATATACTACATGTAATTAATGGAGTGCAGCCATGTCGTCAACGAGACAAATATTCATAGTGGAACAGTATTACTTGTGGTGTAGAGCTTTCAAGTAAGCTGAAGTTAATTATGTCAATTATTAAATTACCAAGAAAACCGAAGGCTATTACTTTTTAGTTCTCAATAGTTTCTCAATATTTCATTCCGTATTCCAAAACCAACCTACAGTTAAAATTATGTTATACTGGTCATTTAATCCAATAAAAGTTGAGTCATCAGTTAAAGTTGGTTGGATATGGTGGACAGGAAAATCTGCAGCTGATTTCCATGTTAGTAGGTCCTCATCAGTAGGGTGTAGGAGAATTATTGAGAAAATGGATTTTACCTATGAGAATCTAACCGTCTGAGATATTACTACTAAGGGCATCGGGTTGCCACTGACGTCCTGTAGAACTGGGATATTTGCATCGATTGATAACTGATTAATGACAAAAGTTATACTTCTACATTCCGTTAGTGCTGATTGGATTCTGTTGATCAGTTTACAATGTGGCCACTATTATAAATGACTCGACAATACCGAATGACAGAACATTGTACACGTGACGTTGATACACATTGAACTAGCAGTTATGTGGGGTTACCTGATCAATAAAGTATATTCAGTACTAAATTACTGGATAAATATAACTTTGATTACCACTCAGTGATCAATGTAGTTTTCAGTTTAGGTAAAACATTTGTTACCAAGTCTGCAGTGTGTGTTGAAATAACAACAATCAACTAATCCACAACTTTTTTTTGAATTTTATTTTGGTTTTATACCTGCAAATGAAAGAAATCTTTTTCTTCATCTCTGCTTTCCAATTTCAATAGATTCATTGAAACAGTGTTCATTTGGTAATAATGATCGGAACAAACCGATATCCAATGGGAGCATCTCACCAACAATACACAATACAACCATGAAAAAAACTGAATGTAATGGCTTAATGGAAAAATATTTAAAGCTCAGTTTAAATGCTAACTCCAAATCACCGGTGCCAACTACATACAATCATGCACTGAACGAATCTAAAGTAGCAAATGGATTTCATTCACCTAATCATTCAAAAGATAATGGTTTATTGTTCGAGAATGGCGTGAGTGAAAATGATCTTTTGATTATTGGTTTTAACAATTTACCTTTTAATAGATATAACACTATCATAAGCTAACAACAAATGATGATATAATGAAAACTTCACACTTACATATCTCTGGTTAATGTTGAAATTGGAAATTGAAATTGTTTTCACGAGCACATATCACAAAACTAATACATAATTATGACAATGTTGACGTTTACATTACATAAAATGCACTTGAAAAAGTCTAGGAAATATTCATGAGTATTACAAATTATTAGTTCACAATACTGTTGTTACCCAACCATTATCAAACCACTTGCTTTCAGGTTAATGTACTCTTAAGATACTATTAAACACAACTTTCAAACACAATTTTGAGTATAATTGTATTGATTTCCAGATTAAGTAATAATTACCTCTCGTTTCCCCGGATAATATAAATGGATAAAAATATACCGAATGTTGATTGTTCTGTTTGAATTTTTCAGTGACTAACTTTGTGACAGATTGTAATTTTCTGATAAAAATGTTTCATTGTATTAAGTGGTCAACTTACATGATTAGTCAATTTGATCAAATGAAAAGCATAAACATAGTTTATGATAGATAATATTCGCATCGTTGGAAAAGAAGTGAACTTGATATTTTGAATTGGTTATCGAGAACAAAGCATTTTTTTAGTCTGTACACAATTTTGTTTCTATTAGTGTAGTATAGTGTTTATTTACTTCCGTTCAGGTGTCACAATTTCATTTCACTCAGTTTGTGATATCAGTTTGAAAAAAAATATAATATTTAGGTTTTAGAAACAGTAGCATAGATCAATTGTATTAAATCGATTGGAATTTAAGTATGTTCAATTATAATTCTACACACTTAATCGTGAATAAATAAATCCGACTTGTTTTATTGATTTACTTACTGCCTAATAACTGTGATCATTTATCATTGGTGTTAAATTATTATTTCATATCTGATTTTTTTTTATGGTTGTCTGTTTTAAAGCATCATTTTAGTTCTAGTGAATCAGATATTATCAGTTTGAACAATGATAAGACTAAGTGTCATAATTCACCAGGAAATTTCAACAATGATGAAGTGATTCCAAACGAGTAAGTAGAAGATATATCATATTTCATGATAAAAGCAACTAATCAATGATTTAAACCTCTAAAATTCAGTTGATTCTGTAATTTTTTAAAACTTTTTTGTTCCTGTTTGGTGTATTTCTATGAAACATAACAATTTACAACAGACTGAACGAAAATTGTTATCATCTTAAACTGATATCAGCAGCGTAAATTCATTTCATCTTAGTATTTAATTTTCAACAGTACTGACCCTACAATAAACCTCGGGATAGAATCTAAGACTTGTAAACCTTACAATCATCGTGACATTTTTAGATCACTGGATCGAACCTAACGGTTCAGATTTCCGACTTTGACTAATTTGTTACAGCACTCTCTCTGTTTATTGTCAGGAATGAACCGAAAACGTCATGATCGTTGTGACACCTGAGTATTTTCAGTTTGAACTGATTTTAGATCTTGAGAGCCCATTGTTAAAAAGTTCCAACTGTCTAGTTATCAATGATGTGCAATGCCTCTTTATATCAATTTCAAATATAGAGTAAACTTCAGTGTGTTTTTCAAAAAAGTACCGTTCCGGATACTCTAGTATAAGTTCTGTGCACAGTAAATCTTTCCCATGATGAAAGCAATAATGGTTTACCCATTCATTGTATAATAAGTCACTATTATGTGGGTAATTTGTCTTCATTGTTTGCCGAACTACATCCATGGTACAATGGCGTCTCAACAAGGTATCTCACTATTGTGTCGCAACATACCTGATGTTAGATAAGTGAAGTTCGTAAGACAAGAGTCGTGAACATGTTTCATGTATATAAGGATTCACCGAGCGGAAGATAATGTCAATATTTTAGAAAACTTTATTGACCTGACGCTCAGCAGAATACTGAAAACGCATCTACATTGGTTAAAAAGATGAATTTTCATAGATAACCTGTTTAACATTTACTTAAGTAACAGTTACACGGTATAATAATAATAATAATAATAATAATAATAATAAATTCTGAAAATAATAATTGCAGAATTTATGCTGGATCACAAACACGATCAGCTTGATGTAGAAAGAAAAGTTCAATCTAAGGGATAGATATATCATGTTACATTGTTTGCAGTGTTCTAGTTAGAAAATTGTTTAGACAGTATATTTTTCACATATATATATGACAGTACTGCAAGTCATCAGTAAAAAACTATCAATTATTTTTAACTGAACATCCTATTGTTGTATGGACGGTGTATTGAATATCGTTTCCAGAGCCATATCTGATTGTCCATAATCGTCTACAACTGGAGAAAATGAAACGGGAACAGAAAGCAGGGAAAAACGAAAACACTAATTGCTAAGATAAGTTATCCGGGTCTATCAAGTCTACCATGATTCATATAGAAGGTTGTTTTATGCTTTAATGTTCGCGTTAGATACAATTCAAATAAGTTAAATTAAAAGGGGAAAGTATTTGCCGATGAGAAAGTTTGACTAGTAGGCTTAGTACAACAAATATGAAACACTTAGGGATCCAATAATCTTACTTGTGGAATGGGATATGTTACTGCTACTGACAATAAAGTAGTCCACAACTTGTTATATATTGTTTGCTTGAATAAAGTTTCTAAACGTGTGCGAATACATATTTGAAATTGTTGTAGTTTGAAAAGAGGACGTTACCGCATTTTTTTCTGTTTACTACTTTTCGACAACAATATTAAATTTTCTAAGACTATGTTAAGCTCATAACTATGATATAGTCACATAATGTTAGTCTTTCTTAAACACAAAGTATTATGGGAAAAGGTGATACATTCGGCAATCGATATACTAGAAATCAATGCGTACTACAAAAAGTGCTTCATCTGATAACCAACAATCCTATACGGTATTATTTTAAAATACTAGATTACGTTACTTTTCTGTCTAAACCAAGAATTCTTGGCTAAACTTTCTGTAAACAAAAGTGACAGTTAGTTTACGGTTGATAAGACCATTTTACTTTACTTGACTAAATTGTCCATTTTGATCGTTATTACGCAGTTTTTTGCATTCACATACAACTGTCATATAATTATTTTTTATATACTGATCCCCTTACTGAACAAGAGTTATTGCGTAGAAATGTTATCAGTTTAAGAACGATTATAATTCTGGACAACTCTTTCACTTCAGTTTAATATTTGTATGATAAGGAATAAGACTGAATCCAGGTCAAGTGAGGATATTCCCAGGCACAATATCCTCAAACTAATGGATCACGTCGCAATAGTTCATAGAAACTATCATCTTATTTTCCGCAAACGATAGTTCACATGCATAAGAAATTATGTGTTAATTTTCTTTTTTTACATTTCATATTTCCTAACTGGGGTGTTTTTACACTTTTAAGTTTGCAATCTTTGTTGCATTTGTTTTTCGATTACAATTTTGACTTTATCGAATACCAAGTTTTTTTGTCTAATTTTTATGTTTCATTGAGCAAGGGATTATTGTTGAAATGTCGTGTATTCATCGTCAATTCTATTAAGTTTGCATTGATCCAGTTTCGTAATAAAAGAATCCCACAACCGGTCTCCAAACAGTAGATACTGTCAGGCTTACTTGATTCATAATAAACCATTATCAACAAATAATGATGGTCTTAATTTACAAATTATGGCTACTTAAACTGCAATTTCATTAAAATCATTTCGATAATAAGTTACCAGTGAACAAACACATGATTAGTTAGTTAATTTTTCACTTATCTATTCTAGACTTAGTTTAATTATATTTTTTTTAATGCATTCAGTAGACATGCAGAATAGGATTTTTATACAATCAACTGGAAAATGATGGTGAAAATCCCACAGTATTAATAATTTTGAATAAAAATTATAAACCTAGTGACTTATTTTTCAATAACAGATTCGTACATTCAGCTTCGAAACGTACTTTGTGACTGTTGGATCTGGACAGAATGGAACTGTACAGGAACTCACGACCTAGTGGCTGGATAGACAGACAGATAGAATCCAGAACTTCGTACGTAAGTACATCAGTTCAGGTTGTCATACCGCATTAGCACAGAGATGCAACTGTCAGTTCAAATCCAATAGTGGTATAGATAGTAGAAGTATTACTGGTAATGGAGAAGATTAGGATTTGAAGATATTATTCAAGAAGTTTAATTCAGTGAGATAAGTTTAGAAAGACAAAGATATTGGTGATTAAGAATTCAGAAGATTAGGATTTGAGAGAACACAAAGAGTGGATGCACCTGTGCCACTGCAAACGATTTTGAGCCATGTTATTCAAGGTCTCTAACCCTCGTTGACTTTCGCTTCGCTCACCCCAACCAGGTAGCCTACATCTACCAACATGACTCAGTACACTTGTCAGTGAATAGTGGTCGGAAGTCATGTTTTATTTAATACCATCACTATACAAGCAAAATCAGTTGGCTTTTTCCTCTGATTGATCAAACAAGGCATTTTACTTTGGTGTACAAGACATACATACTCATATTGAAGGTAGGAATTCAATTTTTTGTTTGTGACAACATTGAATCAATAAACATTTTCATACGTCTTTTTTTTCTTGTAGCATTGATATCGACAATAATTCAGACTACGTCTGGTAGACAGCTTTTGATCGTTTACTTTCTCACACGTAATTACAATCATATGGCTAAATTTTACTCTTTTTATGTATGTACCATTCTTAACAAAGACTAAATCGTTGCCATTATTGTTTTAACCTATAAATTGTACACGATTACTTTAGCTTATTTAAATATTTTATTTACGAAAAATAAACTGTGGAAGTTTTTTGTGTGCTAAATTATAACTACGTAATGTGACTTAATTATGCGGCAGAATGGAATGTTAAGGTTAGATAGTGTGATACCTTTTTCGGTTCGTAACAGTTTGTTCATATGATATGCTATGAAGATAGCAATTTCATACATCATTTCATCTTAATGCATATTTGTTTAAATAACAAAAACGTAAATAAATGTACACAAGAAGGCGGTTAATACATGACTGACACAACTATGTCGGTGAAAACGTTCGATATTGTTGAGAAGTATACTGTTATTTTAATTATTGATTCGTAGCATTGTGATATGAAGTGAACAGTAGAAACATTCAGAGTAAATCACAACTGATGGATAATATCAGCAAAGGCAGATAGACAGAAAAACAGATTTCAAAAGGCTCAACAAGTAGATTGGAACGATGTAAAAAAGATAGAAAAAATGTTGAAATAGAATATCGTTGCGTATAAAATATATTTTATGATGAAGATCAGCCTAAAAGGTCGTCATTCTTTACAAGGAAAATCTTTTTCCTTTGAGTTGAAAAAATTGGATCATGTTCATACGGATGATAACCAAATGCGTACCTGCATTGTGTACTGAAAGCCTAAAAAACGTTGCTAGTTTATGGATATCAGAATGGACAGAGAATATGTTAACCAATGTTTTGGTGGTTGGAAAATTTGAATTGTAACCGACAGATCACAAGGTCTAAAGCCGCTACCTTTTTCGGTCTAGAAAACCGAGTAGCCTGGTGGTTGAGAGCTGACTGCATATATACTCTTGTTTCGTAAATAAGTCACAGCAAGGCAAACTATCAACATCTTAACAATTCCGATGACTGAATTCAATTACAATATAAGCCAGTTTCATATTTTATCCATATTTGGATAGCACAAATCGTAAGATAAAGCACCCATTGTGATACTAACAAATGACAAACAGATTTTTAAAAGGACAAGACTATCAGTCTCCTTTACTTCAATTAAATCTGTATATCTGATATTTATTTTTATGATATGAAATAGAAAGTTTCGCTTTTTTTCCAATGACTGATGTATACCTTCAGTAAAAATGCTGACTATATGCTCAATTTATAGAAATAGTAATTTGTTAGTTCAAGTATTTGAATTTCAGTAAAACTGGATTTCAAATCTGAATCTAGCGATGGAAATTCCAGTTTGAGCACATAACAAGATAGTTACCGATAGCCAGCCAAACAACCAAAAAAGTTAAATGTACACATGCTTGTACTGGTTTACCGATACAATTATTATTTGTATTAATAAAGGCATAATATTACAGTCTACTTATCAATTGATCATGTATTAATTTATTGTTAATAATAAGAATC